TGCGGCATCGAATTGCGTCGAACAAATATCCATTGCCCCCGCCACCACCCAACCCAAAGCCCAAAGTTGACGGGGTTGGGTGCGAGGCAACGTGCGGGGGACGGTTCGGGTGGGGGTGAGGGGGGCCGAGCCACATGTATATTGAAATGGTCGTTGCCATCATGCCTGATTGTCTTCACGCCGTCGGCGTGGACACTTTTTGTCCGGGCACCGAAGGATGGCGGCCTGCCCCCCTCCGCCCCTCGATGCCAGCAACTGGACCCCCCGGAGGTCCGGGGGCCTCCCGTGCCGACCGCACGCGGCACGCCTCGTGAGGTGCGCAGGGCGCACGCGCGGAGCAGGGTACCCGCGGAATCTGCCTGCGGCGGCGGCGGAGGAGGAGGAGGAGGAGGAGGAGGAGGAGGAGGAGGAGGAGGAGGAGGACGGCCAGATGGTCATCAGCTTCTATCTTCTTTCTGTATGCCTCGAGCAGGAGGCAGGTGTGGGTGTGGACCAGTAGCCGATCTATCAGCATGCTGGGGCTGCCAGAGCGCAGCTCGTCCAGCGAGCAGAACGCGTGCACTGACGTCATACGAACGCATTCCGAGCTACGTGCGAGGGAGAGGGTGGCCATGGTAAGGCGGAGTGCCCCGAGGGCGCCCAAGAAGGCATGCCTGCTCTTCGGGAGGCCGGGTCACGGGGCCCCGACCTCGAGGAGAGGGCGGGCTTCTCGCTTCGTTCAGGCTGGGCCCCCAGTCGACCTGGGCTGTGCAGTGCCTCAGCGCGGGAGGGCCCACACATTCGGCCTCTGCGGGGGAGGGGGATCTCTTAGAAGCACCCTTGCTTCGTGGAAGGCGCGCGCCGTTTTTATAGATGCAGGGCCATCGCCTTCTAGGAAGCAGCCTTCTTCGAAGAAGCCTTCCCCCCTCCCCCTACTCCCCTGTGCGCGGCGCCAACCTCGGACCTGCCAGGACAGGGACTGCAAGCTGTCGGAGTGGGGCAGCTGGTCGCCATGCTCGTGCGCCTGCTCCGGCACCCGCGAGCGGAACAGGCGGGCGGCGGGCCAATGATTGCAGTCAATGCCCATAGTGCCGTGGGCAATTCTTTCGCATTGGTTCCTCCTCCTCCTTCTCCTTTCCCTCCTCCTCATCCTCCTCTTCCTCCTTCCTTCTCCTCCTATTCCTCCTCCATCCTCCTCCTCATTTCCTCCTCATCCTCCTCTTCCTCTTCTTCCTCCTCCTCCTCCTCCTCCTCCTCTTCCTCCTCCTCCTCTTCCTCTTCGTCCTCCTCCTCCTCCTCTTCTTTCTCCTCTTCCTCCTCTTCCATTCAAACAGGAGATCGACTACATTCTTGGTTTGCCCCAGAACTGGGACTACCCTCAAGCCTACGAAACACATACATTTAAGGTTCGTAGATATTCTGACTTTCGACCTATCTTCCGCAGATTCGACGAGACTGCATTCTGGGGTAAGTTAAGTCGTCTGTCGATATCCTACTCGGTCCGTCTGCCCCTCTCTTCACGCGTTCGGTTTCAAACTTCACCGGCTGCATGTTTCATGGAGTTGGCTCTGGGGTCTCGCGCTTGCTTGTTTGCAAACATGCAGGGTGACGTTCGATACATGCTGAGTGGGGCACGTCAGGCAGCATTGCTACGACCGACGATCATGACATCGGGTTCGGGGTCTCCTCGTGGGCGTCGCCGTCGTCGAGATGATTTGATCGCCCTCTCCAGCATTCCCCCCCGCGGCAGAACACCGCGTTCTGAATCGTTCCGCTGTGCTTTTGTCATGATTGGTCATTCTTGATTGCTCCTGCATCCTTGCCTATTCGGCCCCTCCTTGGCCAGCTTCGCTGGGCAACTACTTGGTTGTGTGGCCGTGCGCGCCCAGAACCCTCCAGGACTCGGGCTTCCACAGGGTCCCGCATCCTTACCGCGCATCCACGGCCAAGACGCTGAAAGAAAGACCAGCTCGGTCTCAGGAAGGTTTTGGGCCGTTCCTCCAGCTCCTGTCAGGGAACCTGCTCGTTGCCAGGACCAGCCTGGTGGCAATTAGCACGATGACTGAATCCTGCGCGTCGACCGCATGCGTCGAGTCGAGAGGGGCGGTGGAGGACTCCCATGCACGTTCGAGACTCAAAAAGAATGCGGCCCACTCTGGGCTCGAAGCAGGCTCGATGTTCCGCCTGAGGCCCCCTCGTGGCCACGGCAGCCTCCGCTCAGGAGAGCAAGCGGGAATGTGCCCCAAGAGAAGAGCTTCGAGGAAAAGGTCACAGACTTCCAGCGCCACCAAGAACTCGAAGCTGTAGCCCCCCCAAAAGATTACCTTTGGACCTCGATCCTCGAACCCTGACCCCCCCTGCCTCCCTCCCCCCCATGCATCCCAGGGGCAAGTTCGAGGATTGGCCAGGGCATGCTGGCCGCCCGCCAAGATCCGGCCTTGCAATGCCTCCCTTCTCGGACATGTAGGTAGAGGCAGGCGTCTGAAGAGCGCTGGCCTCACCCCTGAGGTGGGCCCTTGGCCGGTGCCTCGACCATCCCTCCTTGGGCCCACGCAGGGAGCCAGAAACCGCTCCCCCCCGCCTCGGTGGGGAGGGGGAGGGCCGCAGCCCGTTCGGGGCCCGCCCGCGGGCCGCCCTCCCCCCGAGATGTGGCGCGCGCCGCCCCGTCGAGGCGCATCGCGGAGTTCGCCTCGGGGAACGGGAAGCCCTGCGCCAACGCGACCCTCAAGGCGCCCTTTGCCCCGCGCCCGGCCGCCCCGCCCCGAGGCGGGGGGGGGGGGGCGCCGGGTGCACGCCGGCACGACGGGCCCCCGGCGTGCCCAGGCTCGCCGGCCTGCTCGGCCTCTTCGCCCGGCCGCGCCGCCGCTTCCTCCCATCCCGCCTCCGCTTCTGCGCCGCCACCTTCCCCCTTTAATCTCCAGCGCCCCTCCCGACGCCCGCCCTCCTCCTGCCACCCCCCCTCCCAGCCCCTGGCATGTCCTTCCCCCCGCCCTTCGTGCCCCTCCTCCCCCCCCCCCCCCCCTCCCCCCCAGTCTCAGCCTCCCACGCGTCCCACCCCTCCTCCCCATCATTCCTCCACCCTCTTCTCAAGGGGGGAACGAGACCACCCGGAGCTGACGATTGGCGTTCACTGCACGGCCCTGGGCGTTCTTTAAACACCCTTGCCCTGCTCGATTCCTTCTGTGGGTGCGTTTGCTACACGGCTTCGCGTGTCGGGGTGACCTGCGCCCTGCAGCTAATTAGGTTTGTTCGCAGCCCCGGACAACTTCTGTCGCCGCGTGCGCTCTTCGCTCGCGGCCGCGACCGAAAAAAAAAGTGTCGGGGTGACTATTGTGGGGGTGGGTTTTCTGCCCCCCATCATTTTTCCTTACAGATCACCCTTCCTTTTGTCGCACCGCCAGGCGTGCCGGCAGAGCGGGGCTGGGCCTTGCGCCCGGGGCTTCCTGACATGCTGCGTTGCCGAGAGCTCGAGAGTGCCAACCGCTGCGGAGAGATGGGGCTCTCGCCCCAGAGGGCGCGCCGCGCAGTGTCCTGAAAACCTGCGCGACGGTTTCAGAGAGAGAGAGAGGGGGCGGCTCGTTGGCATCTTGGGGCTCTCCCTGAAGAGCCGCGCGGATGCGCATCGAAAGCTTGCAACAACTATTACTACTACGAGGATGTGTGGCGGCTGGTTTGCACAGCGACAGGTCTGGCCTCAGCACTGCGCGCAGGCGTCGCAAGTGCGTGGCACTGCGGCACGGACGGAGGTCGGCTGCTGTTCCAAATGGGGGGTTCGCCTTAGCGCCTTCCGCAGGAGAGAGAGAGAGAGAGAGAGAGAGAGAAAGAGAGAGAGAGAGAGAGACAAGATCATGCGCTCACTCGCGCGGGCAACCGTCATGTGATCGGCATCCCGACACACCCGCCACTCCCCGAAGGCACCCCCAACCCCCCCATGGGCAGAGCAAGTCCTTCTTTTCTTCAGACAAGCTGTTGGGTCTCAGAGGCCCGTAGCGTCAGAGGCCGCCGCCGCAGCAGCAGCAGCAGCCGCCACATGAGTCCTCGGCGTCGTCAAGACAGTCGCCCTCCTCCTCCGTCGCAGCCGCCTCCCCCCCCTCCCCCTCATTCCCCCTCCCCCTCCTCCGTCTCCTCCCCCTCCTCCCCCTTTTTTCTTCGGCAGGCTACTGGGCGCGCACACCCGAGGCGTCAGCTCCCCCCCCCCCCCCTCCGTCGCCCCCCCGCCCCCCCTCCCCCCCACGGAGGGAGGCCGGGCGTCTGCGGCGAGCGCCGTGGCAGGGCGCCGCCTCGCCCCGTCGCGTCTCGCGGCCTCTTCGCCCGCCCGCCCCCCAGCGCCCCCCCCTTCGGTGGGTGAACCCGACGTGTCCACGCGCGCCTCGCGAAGACTCAACGTGTCCACGCGCGTCTCGCGAAGACTCGGAGGTTGACAGACCGCCTATACCCTGCCACGTCGATGGGCGAGTTGGCCGTGTTCGGCTCGCGAGAGGGCGGCGCGGCCGCCGTTTTTGCGGGTCCAGGCCCGTCGGTCTCGGTCCCAGGCCGCTTTCACGAAGGGGAGGTCTGCGAAAGGGAGGCTTGTCCACCGCCGAAAGACGCTCCTGCCGGCCACTTCGCTCTGCGGTGCCCCTGCATCGCTGCCACGCTGGAGCGGATCGCCCCGCCTCGCGGCCGACGAGAAGATGCTCGCCCAGGGCCCCCGCCCCCGCCGACCCCCCCCTCTCGCCGAGGCCCCTCCGACCCCCCCCTCGCCTCTCGGCCTTCGCCCGCCGCCCCCGCACCCCTCTCCGGTGGGTGGCCTCGGGGTGTCCACGCTCGGGGGCCCCCAGCTGGGGCGGTGACCGCCCAGGCCCCCATCTCTGTACGAACGAGATGGGTAATTATGGAAAGGACGGGTTCAATGCCCAGCAGCGGTTCCTGCTCATTTTGAACAGGACTCGCTGTCAGCGCCGCCGCGGCCTGTGCCGATTCGAGACAGAAGGCCGCCAGCCCAACAGCGGCCGCTGTCGGTTTGGGACAGCATGTGTTGTTGGGCATTGTACCCACTTTTTCCGTACCGATTTCGGGCGTCCAAACCCTCGGGCAGTGCAGCAATCGTGGCGGGAGGTCTCTTGCCATGTTCGGCCCCCTGGGGGCCCTTGCCGGCCCTCGGGAGCGTCAGCAAACGATTCGGGACGAAACACTTGTCCCGGGGAATGGGTCGACGCAATGGAAAAATCATGAGGCCGGGGGTCTGGGAACACCGTGTGGTGAGTCGGTGGGGATTCGGGGTCACCGCACGGTTTTGGGCCTTGGGTCGTTCTCCGAGGACGCCTCGGGCGAGACTGGAGCCCCCAGGGTCCCAAAGCCGTGTGGTGACGGACCGTGCGGTGAGGTCTTTGCGGATTTCGAGGTCAACGCCGGGTCGGTCACCACACGGTTCTGTCGGGAAAACGTAAGACTCGGGTAAGCCGGAATTCGGGTTTGCCGATGTTTTTTGACGAGCGCGTCCTGAATTTTGACGGTCCCGTTTTCGTGGGATGCCCGCGTCAAACTTCAGTTTGGGTCTCGTCATTTTTATGATGGCCCCCGTCATGCCAACCCGAGTCCCCCGTACCCGAGTCTTACGTCTCTGGGACCCCCAACACACGTGTCTCGCCCAGGCCCCGTCCGAGCCCCTCCAGCCTTGGAGCTCCCACCCACCCGCTCTCGAACCCCCTCCAGCGCCCTCGAACCCTCATGTCCGGGCTCCGCCGTCCTGCCCTCTCCTCTGTTTGTGCTCGTCCAGGCTCTGCGCACGTCCCCGCGTCTCGCACTCGGCTTTGCCGTTATGCTTCTCACTCGTCCTGGCGTTGCCTGGGCCTTCGCGTGAGACGTAAGTACGCACACTGACAGCATCAACAGCATAAGCACCTTGACAGGGTTGAGTACCACGATGGATGGACTGAAAGTGTCCACGCGTGTCTCGCCCAGGCCTTGAGTTATCAGAGCGCGTCGGACCAAACCGCAGACCCCCCCCTTCTCCAAACTCCAAGTTGACGGGTTTGGGCGGTACTGTAGGCCAAACGTCCAAGGACAACATGTGCACACTGACACTTCAACTTTGGGTCTTGGGGGGAAGGGTGCGAAGCAAGGGCAGCTCGCAGTTGAGGTAGCTATCATGTTCCGTCGCCTTGCCCCCACGGGTGTGGACACTGTTCGTCCAGGCACCGTTCTGCCCCCCACTCGTCTCCCGAGGGGCGCGCTCTGCGTGTTTTCCTCTGCCTGCCCCTCCTGGGTGGGCGGAGGCTGCACCCTCACGGGAGCACAGAGACTCGTGTGGCGTTCCAAGCGCGGTGCCTTCGAGATTGCAGGAGTTGTCCTTCTCTTCCGCGGCGGAAGGACGGCGGAAGGTCGGCGGAAGTAAAGCGAGGCCGGCTTCGCTGGCGGAGGGGCGGCGGAAGGCGGCGGAAGTAAAACATGCGCCCCCCAAGAGATGAAAACGTGGGTTTCCGAAATCGCCCACTTGGTTTCACCGTCGCATGCGGGCGTGGCAGCTTTTGTTGTCTCGCTGGGCGTCCTCGCCGGGCTTCGGGCCCCAGGGGACCCTCACAGATCGAACTGCCTCGAACAGTGACGCAAAGAGACTGGGTCTTCTAGGGCTCAGGTCGTGACTCCTAGCAATGCTGCCTGTGTCTTGCAACATCAGGTCTGAGGGCACACAGGAGCACAGACATTCCCAGACATCCGCCGATCTGATTTTTCCAATCCTCGGCCCCAGAGGTCCCGACCCCTTCCCCGGGTGTGTGGGTGATTTTCCGGCCCGGGTGAATTTGGGCTGCTCCCCGGGCCCGAAAGCGTGCATCGGAGGCCGACATCCCGGAACAAAAAAAAAAACACGCTGACATCGTATCCTCAGATCTCTGGGCTCGCCTCGTGCCAGCCCCCCCCCTCCCCCCCCGGCGGGAGGAGGAGGAGGAGGAGGAGGAGGAGGAAGAGGAGGAGGAGGAGGAGGAGGAGGAGAGGAGGAGGAGGAGGAGGAGGAGACATCGTATCCTCAGATCTCTGGGCTCGCCTCGTGCCAGCCGCCCCCCCCTCGAGATCCCCCCCCGCCCGCGGCGACGAGGCCGTGGAGCCCTGCAACCCCGGGGTTGGCGAGGAGGCGCCGGCCGAGTGCGGGAGCGGCACGCCGCAGGCGCGGGGGGCGGCCCCAGCCGCCGTGGTAGATCGGCGCTGCCGGCGTCGTCGCCGCCGGCGACGATGCGACCGTCGTCGTCGTCGCCGTCGTCGTCGTCGGAGGAGGAGGACGAAGGGGGAGGAGGAGGAGGAGGAGGAGGAGGAGGAGGAGGAGGAGGAGGAGGAGGAGGAGGAGGAGGCGGAGGCGGAGGCGGAGGTCGTCGTCGTCGTCGTCGTCGTCGGAGGAGGAGGAGGAGGAGGAGGAGGAGGAGGAGGAGGAGGATCAGGAGGAGGGAGGGGAGAGGAGGGAAGGGGGATGAGGGAGGGGGGAGGAGGGCGACGTTGCGCCACACATCGCCCCAGCGTGCGTCGTGGCGCCGGTGGCCCGCGTTAACTTCCCTTGGCGTCGGCGGCGCTCTGGAGGAGGAGGCTCCCAGCGCAGCGGGGGAGGGGAAGCTGGCCGGGCACGGAGGGGGCGGGGAGGGGAAGGAAAAGGGAGGCTGGGAACGCGGGAGGGGAGGTGGGGACACGAGAGGGGGGGGGAGGGGGGGAAGAGAGGAGGAGACGGGGATGGGGGAGCGGGCGGAGGAGGACGTGGAAGAGGAGGGGGGGGGAGCAGGCTAGGCACAGTGATGAGGGGTCGGGGGTATTATCAGCGGCGCACAGAAAGGGAGGTTGGAGGAGGGGGCGGGGCGTATTTGAAGCACACCTGCTTCTCAACAGGCGCTGGCCTCCTCTAAGAAAAAATGCGGTTCAGGGGATCACCAGGATCCCCCAGGCGCGAATGAAGTAGCGTGTGGCGTGGATGCAGGTTGACGGTGTGGAAGATGGCGACGAGCATGGGGGCGAGGATGGGAAAGGAGGAGCAGGACGAGTATGAGGATGCGAAGACTGGCGGGGATGAGAATGAGGATGAGGATGAGGATGACCAAGCGTATCACGAGGATGATGGGGTGGATGAGGAGGGGTGCTGGGATAACTACTGCTTCGAGGAAGAGCAAGCGTGGATCAGGGCGGGTGAAGTGGCGACGGGTCCCGCTCCCATGCGTTATCGACGCGCTCCGTCGCCGAGCTGCACCGGCTTCACGCTCCAGGGGTTGCTTTCCCCGATCCGTGGATCTGGCGCCCATGCGCCAGGTCTACGCGTCCGTAGTTCGGCGGCCAGCGAGGGGGGGAAGTGAGAAGGAGAAGGCCCTCTCAGAAGGTGGCGGGACTTCTCCGAAGCCCTCGCGCCTTCTGAACAGCTTTCTGTGGCTTGGGGGAAGGCTGAGGAAGCTTCTGAGAAGGCCGGGGGGCTTCCGAGCCTTCTGAGAAGGCCCGCCCCTTCTCACTTCACAGACCCTCGACATCGTGATTTTTTCACAGCGTCGACCGCAGAGGTCTGGACCCCTTCCCCGGGACTGGTTTTTCATCCTTAGTGGTTTCTTGACGGCCCCGAGGCCCAGGGAGGGACCCCAGAGGCCAAAGATAGCGAAAAGCCGCCCGTCGTGATTTTTCCCCAGCGCGAGGAGTTCAGGGTCCCCCCCCCCCTCGCCGCCAATACGCATCCGCAGCCTCTGCCAGCGCGTGCCCGACGGCTGTCGGGCCCTCCGAGCCCCGAGGCACGAGCCAGCAGCGGCGGCGGCGCGGAAGCGCTTTGGCCTGCCCCCCCGGGGGGGGCCGTCCCCCGAGCGGCCGGGTGCAGCTCGGGAAGCCCCTCTCGCGGTTGGTGCCTGCGCGCGCCCTTCTCGCATGACAGCCGACGGCGTGTTTTTTTTTAATTAAAAAAATTATTTTTGAATCAAAAATTGGTTTTTGAATTCAGAAACATTGCTTTTTGAATTCGAAAACCTTTTTGAGTTCGAACACTATGTGAATTCGCAGAAGTTTTCTTCGGAATTCAAGAACCATCTGAATTCAAACATTGCTTTTTTCAAAAGCCACTCTCGCGGCGGGTCCCCGCGTGCGCCCTTCTGGCGCGACAGCCGACGGCGTGTGTTCTCTCTCCCCCCCTTCCCCACCCTTCGCGGCAGGCGGCGCGCCTCTGCGCCCCCGCCGGGCAACTCCGCAGCCCCACTGCGTTGGGCCGCTGCTGCTCCTGCGCACGTGCCACCCGCCTGGCGTGTGATGCCCCTCGCCACGTCGGAGTCGGATGCCCTGTAAGAGAGCGCGGCACTCGAGGGTCCCCAGATATTCAAAGTGCGAATTGCCTGCCCCGCGTTCGCTTCCAGGCAGAACCAAGTCACACCCACCACGCGCCTCCTCGTCAAGCGGCCTAATCAGTGCAGGCCGTAGCTTGGCATCGCTTGGTACCTCTTGGAAGCGAGGGTGGTCAAAAGCGAGGTATGTCTGTTTGCCCCCTAGAGATCCGAGGATCTGAGTCTTTCCATCCGACGGTGCTTCCCGAATTCGGGCCTCCCAGTGCCGTTCTCGAGCCTGAGGGCCCTCAAGAGCGGATCCGGGACGCAGAACCACCCCAGGGGAAGGGGTCGTGACCTCCAGGGCCGCGGACGGAGCGAATCGTGTCTGCGGATGTCTGGGCCCGTAATGCTGCTGGAGCCCCCCCCAAGGCTTCTTGCCTGGCAGCAGGCGACGACGGCGGCAGCGGCATCAGATCGAGTCGGCTGTCGCTGGGCGTCGGCAGACCTCGATAATGGAGGATGGCGATTAATAAATGACCGGGGGTCGTGTTCACGCGGCGGCGCCCGGGATGACGATTAGAAAAAACCGGCCGCGGGCTGGACAACTATTTTTGTTAACAGTCAGAAAGTTGTGCAGAAATAGCAAACAACTATGTTTTAATCGTGCCCTCCCATTTGTTTTATCAATCGCCATCCCGCATTAAGCTCGACCAGTTGGGGCGATCCCCCCCCGGGAGGGGCCCTATTCTGCGCACGCCGTCCCCCCTGCGAGGGCCTCGTCGGCGCACGCGGTCCCCCTGCCACGGCTTCCAATGGTGCGCGCCCGGTGCCCAAGGCGGGGGGGACAGCGTGCAAGCAGCGGGCCGACGGCGCCACCTCGCACGCCATCTTTGCGACGCCGGCCGCATCCCCTCGGCATGCCGTGCGGGGAGCAGCAAGGAATCTCGAGTTCGGGGCGCTGGAGATGGATCGGAGGGCCTTCGCCGCTGTGCCCTCGGGGGCCCACGCACTCCTTCCATCTCTTCGCGCCTCTCGTCTTGCCGCCGCGCCAGCCAGGCGTTATTAGCCTTCTCCGCGAGGCCTCGCACTGCTTTCCTTCACGACGCAACAAGCTCCCGCTCAGTGTATGGCCAATGCCACACGGGAGCAGCAAGGAGCAAGGCAGGGAGGAAGTCGGGCGACGGGGGGCGGGAGCGGACGGATCGTGTTTGTTGTTGCGCGCCGCCCCCGCGTGCCATCACGTGGTGGGTGACTTCTCTGGGTGCTGCCAGAGGAGAAAGAAGAGGAGGAGGAGGAGTTGGAGGAGGAGGAGGAGGAGGAGGAGGAGAGGAGGAGAGGAGGAGGAGGAGGGGAGGAGGAGGAGGGAGGAGGAGGGAGGAGGAGGAGGACGAGAGGGAGGAGGAGGGAGGAGGAGGAGGAGGAGAGAGGAGGAGGAGAGGAGGAGGAGGAGGAGGAGGAGGAGGAGGGGAGGGGGAGGGGGAGGGGGAGGGGGAGGGAGGAGGAGGAGACGAGAGGAGGAGGAGGAGGAGGAGGAGGAGGAGGAGGAGGAGGAGGAGGAGGAGGAGGAGGAGGGGAGGAGGAGGAGGAGGAGGAGGAGGAGAGGAGGAGGAGGGAGGGGGAGGGGGGAGGGGGGAGGAGAGAGGGAGGGAGGACCACCGTTTGCGCTCCACTGCTCGCAAAGTGCCTACCAGCACAAGCGTCAGACACAAACAACCAAAACACATGCCTGCCCCTCTGCAAAGGATCGCAGACCCCGTGGGGATCCAGGCCAGTTGCGGGCAGCTGCCTTGCGAGTGATGGAACGCGCCCGTCTAGAGGAGAGGGGGGACGAGGAACGAGGAGGAGACCACTGTCGAAGGCGGAGCCTGGGCATACATGTAAACCTCCCGAGCTCCGGCCGGACCTCCAACTTGCATGCCTATGCTGCTGTCGTTTCTTCTGCATCGGACAGGCAGCCCCAGGCCACCCGATGCCACATCCGAAGCAATCCACGCTTCCGCCGAGTCGCGCACAAGACAGCGTTTGTCTGGGCGGAGGCGAGAAGAGGAGGGGAAGACGCCAGCAGAGGATGAGGTCATGTTTCCCGAGCCCACACACTACACTGAAAGGACAACATCTGAAGGCTCCCCCCTAGGCATAAGTCGGGCATGTCCCTCCACGTGAGGAATATCCAAAAGTAGGCAAAACAGATTACAGGGACGACGTGTTGACCAGATCTGACTATGTTTGAATATCTGTGGACTGCTGATCCTTTTCTCTCCCAACATCCGCCTGGTAGGCGGACCTGCCCGACCTGACCCCGGGCCAAAAAGCAGCCAGGACCTCCAGGGGCCCTCCGCCGCCGCCGCCTCGCCGGCTCCCCGCGCCCCAAGCGCTCGAGGCGGGGCGCCCGCGCACGGAGTGCGGGTCCATGAGGCCTTCCGGGGGGCCTCGGCGAGGCCGCCCGAGGGCCAGCACCCAGAGTTGAGTCGGGCCTGTCCCTCCACAGGGGGGATGTTCAAAGATAGTCCAATAATAATCTCGCGACGTTGTTGTTCCGTCTTTAAATATATATATATATATATATATATATATATATATATTGGGGATATCTTGAAATTTTCCTCCAGAATCTGTTTGTAGGGGGACATGCCCGACCTAAACCCAGAGATCCAACGCATTGACAAAAGTCAAGAGGGAGGTTTTTCGCAAAGTTCGGCCCCCAGGAGCCCTCGCCGGGCCTCGGGACCGTCCAAAAGCTACTCGGGATGAAAGGGTCGAGGCTTCCGGGGCCCCAGCATTGACAAAAATCACGACGTCGGATCTCAGGGCACCCGGCCCGACTCCTCGGCGCGACATTTTTTTTGTTGCCATCCAGCGCGGAGCCCTGCGGCAGAGATGCAGGAGAGGGCGGGGGAGGCGGCAGCGGGGAGGGCAGGCCCGGGCGCGCGGCTCGCAGCCCGGCGGCATGCACTGAACTATTCAGGGCGTGAATTACCTACCCCGCTTTCGTTTCCAGGCAAAACCAAGTCATACCACGCGCCTCCTCGTCAAGCGGCCTGACCAGTACAAGCCGTAGTTTGGCATCGCGTGGTATCTCTTGGAAGCGAGGGTGGTCAAAAGCGAGGTAGGTTAGTTTGCCCCCCAACTGCCCTAACTATAGCCCGGCGCCCTCGGGCGGGCCTCCCAGCGCGACCCTGGGGGGCGCCCCGCCATGCCGCCTCCGCGCCGCCCGCGTGCGCCGCTCGGAGCAGGAGGGGATCCGCTGCCCGTGGCGGCGGCGCCCAGCGCCCGGCGCCCAGCGCCGGCGCCCAGGAGCTCCCACGCGATGGGGGCCCAGCAGCCGCATCGCGCGCAGGCCACGCGCCCCGGCCCCCCTGCGAGGCGACGTGCGCTGGCCCGGCGCCGCCGGCGAAGGGCGCGCGGGCCGCCTCGGCGCGGCTCGCGGGCGCGGCGCTGCCGGCAGCGCCCTCCTGGCCGCGGCCGCCGCCACCGCCGCGTCGCCGCCCATGCGCGGGGCTCTCGGCGCCGCGGCCCATGGCGCGGCCCAGCGGCGGCGCCACGCGCGGCGGCGCCTGCCCGGTGCGGCCGCGGTGGGCTTTGCTCGCCGCCAGGTGGACCTCAGCGTCTGGAGGGCGAGCAGCGTGACCCCGCGAGCCTGCACCGCAGGAGGTCCGGCGGCGCCCCTGCCGCAGAGGGGGCCACGGGCAGCAGCCTGGAGAGGCGACTCGGCCATTTCTTCTGGCCACTTGGCGAGCATCTTAGCCGACGAGGAAGTGCGCCCATCCCCTTTGGGCCCCAAGGCGCTCGTGGAAGGAAGGGACTTTGGGCGGCACGGCGCCGAGGAAACAGGAGCCCTTGTGCAGGCCCTCGCGTCTTGATCTGTCCTTGCCCATGCATTACATCTTCCAGCCAGCATTGGCCCATGGTTCACCAGAGCGTTCAGTGCAAGAGCGATAGTGCAAGAACGATTTTGACAGTGGCGCCATCGTTTCCCCAACTGAGGTGTAAGAGGGAAGAGATGGTGCGACGCAGCCCCTGAAAGGTTGAAAGCTGGCCGTGGGTCAGCGGTATCCAGTGCTCCCCTGGGGAACGTATCGCCTTGAGCCAAACTGGCTACGGACGGGGAAGAGATGGGAGGAGGAGGAGGAGGAGGTGGAGGAGGAGGTGGAGGAGGATTGGCTCAGATTCGCAGTTGGGTGCAAGGGCGGGTCCTCATTGGTAGAACCCCTGGGCAGGGCTGGAGGAGGGGGAGGAGGGAGGAGCCAGAGGCGGATGCGGAGGGAGGGGCAGGGAGAAAGGAGGAGGAGAGGGGAGGACACACGTACACGTCCGAGCGCGCCGAACAAAAAGAGCGTAGGAAGTGGCCGTGGCCGTGGCCATGGAAACGAAGAAGGGGAAGGAGGAAGGGACGGAGGGAGGGAGGAAGGTGGGAGAGGGAGGGAGGGAGGACGGAGGGAGGAGGGCAGGTGCAGAGGAGACGGAGGAGGGGGGTGGACGAGGAGGGTGGGGCCCCGTCCGCGGCTCCACGGCGCCCTCCCCGCGGGGAGGACTGCGAGCTGGGCGACTGGTCGGAGTGGTCCGATTGCTCGCTGCCTTGCGGCGGCGGTCAGCAGGAGCGCAAGAGGGCCATCAAGGCGTCGCGCGGGGGGGAGGAAGACGACGGCGCCGACGCCGACGACGACGACGACGACGAGACCGACGACGAGACCGACGACGACGCCGACGACGACGAAGCCACCGACGATAACGAAGCCACCGACGACGCCGAGGACACCGACGACGCCGAAGCCACTGACGACGCCAAAGCCACCGACGACGACGATGACGACGACGACGACGATGACGACGACGACGATGATGACGACGACGACGTCCCGAGGCACTCACCTATTGAACAGAACATTTAGGCTCATCGGAGCCAGCCTCGGATCCTCGAAGGCCCCTCCAGGGCTGGCGGCTATCCGATGCCCTGCGCGCGTGATGCTCTCTGCACTCGTGCTGTGGACTCCTGCTGGGCCCTGGGCCTGTCAGAAGCGCAGCCTGTGGATGCCGATGAGCTCCGCGAACAGCGGACCCACAGGGGGCAGCTCAGCTTCCGCTCCGTGCCTTTACCAGGTCGCCGGGGGGGATCTGGTGAACACACGCCTTCCGGCCCTCGCCTGCCAACCTCCGTCACACGTTCGCGCGGTGACCGAGGAACTCATTGAAGTCCCTGATCGCTCAAGGGCCATCGGCTTGAACGTGGGAGGCGTGCGCCGCCAAGCCCTGCCTGGCCTCTCGAATGAGAAGCGTGTGAATCGCGCAGGCAACCTGCGAAACAGCGCTGCCTTTCCGTGGCCTCGTGTGGCCGTCGGCGGACGTGCCCGCAGCCAGGAGAGCATGCGCTTTGGCCAACACCACCTGCATCGGGAAAGCCGGGATAATGAGGAGGAGGAGCAGGAGGAGGGGGAGGAGGAGGAGGAGGAACAATGTTTTGGGATGAATCGAGCATGCAAGCAGATGCATAAACCTTGATGCTCGGGGATATGCGCGGAGGTGTTGGATCGGCGCGGGGCCCTTGGAGCGCGCTCCGCGTGCCATGGAGGGGGACTTCTCTTGGAGGAAGGATGAGCAGGAGGAGGAGTAAGAGGAGGAGGAGGTGGAGGCTCAGCAGGAGGAGGAGAAGGAGGAGGAGGAGGAGGAGGAGGATGAGGAGGAGGAGGAAGATGATGATGATGATGATGATGATGATGATGATGATGATGATGATGATGATGATGATGATGATGATGATGATGCTGATGCTGATGATGGTGATGGTGGTGGTGGTGGTGGTGGTGGTGATGATGATGATGATGATGATGATGATGATGATGATGACGATGACGATGATGATGATGATGATGATGCTGACGACGATGATGATGATGATGATGATGATGATGATGATGATGATGATGATGATGATGATGATGATGATGATGATGATGATGATGATGATGATGATGATGATGATGATGATGATGATGATGATGATGATGATGATGATGATGATGATGATGATGATGATGATGATGATGATGATGATGATGATGATGATGATGATGATGATGATGATGATGATGATGATGATGATGATGATGATGATGATGATGATGATGATGATGATGATGATGATGATGATGATGATGATGATGATGATGATGATGATGATGATGATGATGATGATGATGATGATGATGATGATGATGATGATGATGATGATGATTATGATGAGGAGGAGGAGGAGGAGGAGGAGGAGGAAAGGGAGGAGGAAATGGAGGAGGAAAGGGAGGAGGAGGAGGAGGAGGAGGAGGAGATGAGGAGGTGGATGTGGTACGTGCTGGGCGAGCAGGGGCACTCGTCAGACCGAATCCGGCTCGCAGGTAGGCGGCGTGGCAGCGCATCGGCGCCTCCAATGTCGGGGCTCGATGTTCTTTACTTCTGTCCACGTGGTTTCTTGTGGCCTGACTCGTCCGCCCCTGGGCGGCCGCCCGCCGCCCCCCCGTCTCCCACTCTTGCACGCTGGTCAATTCGCTTTCCGATGCCCCCCGTCGAGCTCCTTCGCTGGTGCAGCCAGCTCTGCCTCGCCGCCGACGAGACAGGTGTATTCTCGTGGCGGCATGCGGGCATTTCTGCGGCACTGGGCCCACGCGGGGCTTTCGTTCCTTGCCCAAGGATCCCAGGACAGCTTCCCTGACGCAGCTGAGGGGTCCTGGAAATCAGTGGGAGGCAGGCGGAGGAGAGACACACGCATGGCGCTTCCGAGCATGGGCATTGTTCGGTTGTTCTTTTCGAATGGCTTCCGTAGGCGTTCGGAGGGCACCCGCGGCTTCTGGCAGCATCAGGAAGCGAAAGAGGAGGAGGGAGGACGGGGAGAACACGATGGGTAGGGCAAAGAGAGGTACGGGTGGGAGCGGAAACGGGAAGCAAATGCAGAAGCAGAAGGAGGAACATGAGCAACTGATGTGCGAAAGGAACATCAGAAGGGATATGATGATGGATGAGGAGCAAGAGGAGGACATGAGGAACATTCCAAAGGTGAGGAGTACGATGGAGTTGGAGGCGGACGGATGAGGTGGATGAGGACGGAGGATGAGGAGGACAGTGAAGGACCGAGGAGGCGGAGGAGGAGGAGGAGGAGGAGGAGGAGGACCGCGGTGGGGCGATCGCATCGCGTCCGCCTCCTTTGCTGTGCCCAGGAGGAGGAGGAGGAGGAGGAGGAGGAGGAGGAGGAGGAGGAAGAGGAGGAGGAGGGGGGATGTTGGAGCATGACGGCGGAAGAGAACAGAGGAGACCAGAAGAAGAGGAGGAGGGAACGTGAGAGGAGGTGGAGAATGATGAAGGCGTGCCGAGGGGGAGGACAGAGGATGCAGGAGGAGGAGGAGGAGGACCTCCTCCTCCTCCCGCCTCCTCACCCCTCCAAATTATACCTCCCTCAATCCCCCATCGCCCCTCTCCTATCTCTCCCTCCCTCCTCCCTTCTCCCGCCCTTCCCCGCCTCTCTCGTACCGGGTCCTCACGTGCACGCGCATTTCTATTACCCGTGCAGCGGAATGGGCCGCGTGTGACTTATCTTCTGCACGTGCGAAATCCGTCGTAGATCGACAAGAGCTGAAAGCCTTGTGCGTCGTGGGCGAAACCCGCACTCGCGCGAGCGCAGTGGCGCACTTGACCGAACGTGCACCTCAGGACGGCTCCTGTGCGCGGCTATTTGGGGGGAGGGGCTTCGCGGGCATCGCCGCGTTCACTGTCCTATGCGCCTCGGCATCAAGCTGGAACAGAACCTCATATCCCCATCCGACAGGTTGGGACCGCAGTAGATTTGAAGCAATGGAGCCTCGCGTCTTCCGACAAGCGACGACTCCGTGCCACGGCCGCCGTGCCCACAGTGCGTTAGTGTTCCCTTGGGATTCCGCCTCGCGTTCTCGGGTGGGGATCGTTCGAGACCAACTCGTTTGTTGAGAGGATGGTGCTGAGAAAAACAACGCTGGCGATGCATCACCGCTCGCGTTTAGACCCACAGAGCGTGCCGCTTCGTTTTTTTTTTATTTTGCACGGCACCAGAAGTGTCACAAAAGGCATACCGTTGGAGTTCTGCGTACGTTGGCCGCCGCATGTGTGGCCGATGAGTGGCAATTGGTCGGTTTCCTCACGGCAAGACGTCACATTGCAGTGGCGCCGCCTCCGCGTCGGAGTTCCTACCGTTCTTCATTTCTGCCCCTTTTCGTGTGACCGCTCCTCATCTTGTGCCTCCTTGGGATGCTGCTCTACGAAACATTTGAGGTCCTACGTGCCCAACGCGAACAATTTACTGTCTCCCCCGTCTCACCAAAGTGCTGTGCGCCATTTTCTTCCCAGTGTGATTCATACGTCCAACGTTCGCGCGACAAGAAGGTCAACTTTTACTCTTCATGAGCTACAGCAAACACCTTGGCCACGACGATGGTTATTGTGAGAACGATGATGAGCTTAGAGGTGGCGATGATAATGATGTTGAACAGTTTGATGCTGATGATCGACATGGCGGTGGCGATGAGAACGCTGAGGAGGATGGCACCTCCAAGCGAGAAGGTTGCATTGATGCCTTCGCTGGTTCGCGCACGAGAACCCGCGAGCGCGCGCGTTCATCCAGAGCCTCCCGCCGACCCACCCCTTTTCCTCGGTGAGACCCCTGGCAGGTCCAACGATGGCATAGGATTAAGTCGGGCATGTCCCCCTACAGGATAAATATTCGAATATAGTCAAAACATAGTCGGGGGACGATTTTTCCCTACCTAGGCTCTGCCTAGAGGGTTCTTATCTTGTTTGCTTAAAGGGGCCGGGCAGTGTAGGCCGCCCCGGGCGGTTCCCCCAGTCCCCGCCCCGCGGTTCCCCCAGTTGCGCCCCCCTGGGTTCTTTAGCTCAGCTTAGCGTAGCTTAGCTTACCTTAGCTTAGCTTAGCTCAGCTAAACATAGCTTAGCTTAGCATAGCTGGGTGTAGCCTAGCCTAGCTTAGCTTAGCTTAGCGCAGCTTAGCTTAGCTTATCTCATCTTAGCTTAGCTTGTAATATCTTAGTTGAGCTTAGCTGAACTTAGCTTAGTTTAGCTTAGCTTATCCCGTCTTAGCTTAGCTTAGCCTAGCTTACCTCATCGTAGCTTAGCTTAGCTTAGCTTATCTCATCTCATCTTAGCTTAGCTTAGCTGAGCCTAGTCAAGCTTAGCTTAGCTTAGCTTAGCATGGCTTAGCTTACCTTAGCTTAGCACAGCGCAGCGCAGCATAGCGCAGCGCAGCATTAACACAGCATATCATAGCATAGCCAATCATAGCATAGCATAGCATAGCACAGCTCAGCATAGCATGGCATAGCAAAGCATAGCATACCATAGCGCAGCATAGCATAGCATAGCATAGCATAGATGTAGCTGTCGGTGTAGATGTAGATGTTGCTTTCCTAAGTGCTCCAACTCCTAGGTAGGGTCGCACTGGGATTTTTTTTTGTTTACCATTTTCGATTATTTTCTGACATGTTTGACTACTTTTTATCTTTCGTCCAATATCTGCCTGTAGGGGGACGCGCCCGACCTAAGCAAAGGAGGTGACGCATCGCCCCCCCATCGTCCCTTCATCGCCGATGGGGCCTCAGCGGCCCTACCCTGCCCAGACACGTGGGGACTCGCCATCGGGGGCCCATCACCGCTCTGCAGTCGGGGCACTGCAGAAGGACCCTTTTTCGTTGGAGAGGGGCTCGGTGTTCCTCAATTGTCTCACAGCTGAGTGAGGTTTTTCTTGAGCTTTCGATGGGGGATCGACGTTCAACTTACGCAAACAGGGGCCTCGTTCCTCAGTTAGGGTTCCTTAGGTCAACGCCCCGACTGGATCGGCGATGCGTCGCCGTGTCCAGGTCGATGTCCTCCCCACGTGTGCCAGCCCCCCTCCCATCGCTGCCCGTCCCCATGTGGCACACCATGGAGGCCTCCGGGCGCTCCTAGAGACCCCAGGAGGCCCCCATACCAAACAGAAAAAACAAAAAAACGAGGCTGAGGGGCCCCTCGCGGGGCGGAGCGGACCGTGAGCCAGGCAGCCTCGTTGGCCCTCTTTCCGCCAAGAAGAATAAGAATCGAAAACGAAAAAAGTGGCATCAGTATATACAGTCGGGCCGAGGTAGAAGGTCGAGGTGGGTTAGGGGAGGGTGCGCGGACGTTTTCCGTGTCTGTTGGATGTTCTCGTGCACCCTGGGGAGGGTACCTTGGGGTGTTCCGTGCGATTTGGCCGGCGGAGGGTCTCGTGTTCTTGAGGGACGCTTTTCTGTCCTGGGTTCGACTGCACGTTCGGAAGCCCGGCACAACGCCAATCGGCCACGTGGACGGGGTACACATTCGGCTTCTTGTTCATTCGCGCTTCATTCCCCTAAGCTTTCCTCTTTCTTCTCCCAAAGTCGCGCTGAAACAGAAGGTATACGTTCGGATGATACCCGCGCGGATTCCGATGATTGCGCTGGGCTCTCCTGGCGGCGCCTCCAGCGTCACCCCTGGGGCGCTCAGCGCGCCAGGGAGGAGGGGTCAAGCGCCGATCCAAGACGTGCTCGCAGACCTTAGAAAGATGATGTTAAGTCGTTCTTCGTTATTCGGTCCCACCTTCCTCTTCTCCTCCTCCTCCTCCTCCTCCTCCTCCTCATTCTCCTCCTCCCTCTCCTCCTCCTCCCCTCCTCCTCCTCTTTCAGGCCACGGTTCTCTGCCCGAGCTTGCCTACTCCAGGCCAGATTGCGTGCGTTCCAGAGTTGGCCTGGCGACTCCCCGACTCGCATCAGTGTCGGAGCTACGAGGCGTCGAGAGTTGCTAGTTATTGTTCCCTCAGCAGGATCGGGGATCGAGGAGGAGGGTCGAAGATCAAGGATTGAGGAGGAGGAGGAGGAGGATCGAGGAAGATCGAGGAGGATCGAGGAGGATCGAGGATCGAGGAGGAAGACGTCCTAGATCCTCCTCCTCAGGAAATTGTCTCCTTGCCCCCTTCAGGATGCAACCCCTGGGAGGCTACACTTCGGCATCGGCGCTGGCGCAGCCGTGGTCAAAAGCTCGCCCAATCTGGCATACTACGGCCTAACCCCGCTTGGTCTCGCATAACCCCACTTCATCTAGTTTACTCCTGGGCGCACTCTGTTATGATTTGGCTTGGTTGGCCCTTCATCGGGGGTCCCCAAACGGGGTGGTGACCGCACCGTGCGGTGAGTCGGTGAGGATTCGGGGTCACCGCACGGTTTTGGGACGCGGGTCGTTCTCTGAGGACGTCTCGGGCGACAGGGACCTCCAGGGTCCCAAGACCGTGCTGTGACGGACTGTGCGGTGAGGTCTCTTGGGGTTCCGAGGTCACCGCACGGTCTGTCACCGCACCGTTTCGGGACTCCAAACTTCAATACAGTCTTTCAGCCCTTCCTCGTTCTAACAATGACCAGATCTCAGAGATTCTGGTTTCATCCTCACCCGCTTGTGTCCTCGTCCTGGATCCGTCTTAGAACGTCCATCCACAATCCTCGACCTCGAGAGCCGATCTTCTGGGACGCAAGTCCTGGGAGATGGAACTCTGAATCGGCACTCGTTTTTTTCGCTGTCGATCGCCGGCTTGATCTGGCCTGATCCGGCTTAATCCCGCTAAATCCCGTGCAGTCTTGCTCAATTTGGCTTAATCCCGGGCTCAATCTGGCCTGATCCGTTGAAGTGGCCCTCTAATCGGGTTTCTGCGGCGCCAAATCGTTGCAGCGACGTTCCTCGCAGGAGTTACCTCCTGACCTGCTCCTCTGAACTTGGCTGCTCGACCCTGGACCTCGAGGACAGGGGTCGACCTGAAGGGTGTTTTGGGCGATCTCGTTTGCCGGTTTCGTCTCGACGTCGTGTTGCAGCAGAGGCGGATGGAAGACGAAGCCCGGGACAACGGAAACAGAACGGACACGAAGAGCCCTGCTTGGATCGATCCTCGACCTCGAAGACCGAGCTCAGACCTCGAGGACCGATCCTAGACCCCTTATATATAGAGAGATACAAGACTGCATTGGCGCTTCGCGCCGTGTGCCTTCTTCTGGACGCTTCCCCGGCAAAGCAATCAATCACCATTTGCTTCAGCAGGGGGGACCTCGAGGCTTGGACGGGCGATCGGTTCATTTTCTGATATCCCTGGTGCTTGCTGACGCCGCGTTCGCCCGATGCGCTTGCACGCTTGTGCGCAAGAGTGGGGAAGGAATGCTGATTTTTTAACGCGCGACTGTGCTGGCAAACGACGAGGCATCAAACTGTTGCGATGGCACCTGTCCATGGACGGGGAACGGCAAGGGAGCAGAGATGAGGGTGGGCTGAAGAGGCGAAATGGGGGAGGATGGGCGGGGGAGAAACGGGGAGAAGGTCCAGAGGAAGGAGCGGGCGAATGAGGATGAGTATCGGATGCCACGAACGTGGAGGTCCACGAGGAAGGCAGAGGGGGGAAGGAACGGGAAGGGAGAGAAAGAGAGAGAGAGAGAGAAAGAGAGAGAGAGAGAGAATGTGATAGAGGTACGGGAAGGACAGGCCGGCTGGCGTGAGCGCAGCGAGCGCACGGAGAACGCCGTGCTCTTTTGGGCCACCCTACGGCCCTCTTGGGCCTTCTTGGGCCGTCTTGGGGAGTTTGGGCCCTCCAGAGGTCTTTTGGGGCCTTCTTTGGAGTCTCCAGTTGCCTTCTTAGGGGTCTCCCATCGGTTTTGCGGGTCTCTCTTGGGAGCCATTTGAGGGCATCTTGGGCTTCTTGTGGGCAGTGTCGGGGCTCTTTGGGGCAGTTTTGGAGCCATTTTGGGCCGTCTTCAAACCCTCTGGGGGGCTTGTTGGGCCGTCTCGGGGCGATATCGGGGGCCCATCGGGCCGTCGTGGACGCTGCGAAACCCAAACAGCGGACATGGTCAACTTGTAGATTCTCCTCCGGGAATGAGAAGATTTGTGTTTCTTCGGGGCCCTCTGAACGGCTCCTTGGGGCGTCTTGGGGGCCTCGTGGGCCGTCTTCGGACCATCGGGATGCGCTGTCTTGGGCCTCTCTCGCGTATCTCCGATGACCCCTCTGATCGCTTCGAGTCTGCTCGCAGGGCCCGGCAAGGCGCCCTGGGAGGCCCTAAGGGCCAGCGGATTTTTTCCAAAGGCGTCCAGGGGACCGCCGAGGCGTCCGAAAGGGCGTCCGAGGCGTCCCTGGGGGGGGGTGCGGTTTCACGGGGGGGAGGGGCTGGTCTGGGTAATAAAGATATAGGAATAAGAATGTGGGGCGTTCCAAAGAGAGCCTTCCTTCGAGGATGGAAGGAGCTGACATCTCTTCCTCGGCGGAAGGCGGCGCAAGGTCGGCGGAAGTAAAACGAGGCCGCTTCCGCCGGCGGAAGCTCGGCGGAGGGCGGCGGAGGTACAACATGCGTCCCCAAGAGACGAAAACGGCTTGGGGTTCAGGGTTTTCGAGGTCGCCCGTAAACATATGTATACATATATATATACATTTATATATATATATGTGTTAAACTAAATATACACATACAAATACACAGAGATAAATAAGGATATACTTATATGTACACTATTACATTTACACATATCTACACACGTCTACAAGCACAACAAGCACGAGGCGCTCGAGCAGGGCAGGGGGGCGGCCTCCCCAGCGCCGCGGGCCCAGGCCCAGCCCGCCCACGGGGGCCGGCCGTGCGCGGACAGCCTGCTGGCGACGCGCCCCTGCCACACGCAGCCCTGCGAGGCGGAGACCTGCCAGGCGCGGGCGCCCTCGGGGCGAGGAGGAGGAGGAGGAGGAGGAGGAGGAGGAGGAGGAGGAGGAGGAGGAGGAGGAGGAGGAGGAGGAGGGGCGGAGGAGGAGGAGAGGAGGAGGAGGAGGAGGGAGGAGGAGGAGGACGAGGAGCAGGAGGAGGAGAGGGAGGAGAGGAGGAGGGAGGAGGAGGAGGAGGATGAGGAGGAGGAGGAGGAGGAGGAGGAGGAGGAGGGAGGAGGAGGAGGAGGAGGGCGGAGGAGGAGGAGGGAGAGAGGAGGAGGAGGAGGAGGAGGAGGAGGAGGAGGAAGGAGGAGGAGGAGGAGGAGGAGGGAGGAGAGGAGGAGGAGGAGGAGGAGGAGAGAGGAGGGAGGAGGAGGAGGGAGGGAGGAGGAGGTGGAGGAGGAGGAGAGGAGGAGGAGGAGGAGGACGAGGAGAGGACGAGGAGGAGGAGGAGGAGGGGAGAGGAGGAGGAGGAGGAGGAGGGAGGGAGGAGGAGGAGGAGGAGGAGGAGGAGGAGGAGGAGGGAGGAGGAGGAGGAGGAGGATGAGGAACAGGAGGACGAGGGGGAGGAGGAGGAAGAGGGGGAGGAGGGCTCGCTTCGATTCCTCCGATTCGATTCGATTCGATTTCGATGGTTTCGGTTCCGATTCGATTCGACTTGGGGATCGTGGATCAAGGGTGCGTGGATTAGCGACGGGCCCCGTTTCAATGAGAAATCGCGGAGTTCCGCCTCCGAACAGGGCAGCACCGGCCGTGTTTGGGGGAGGGCACCTCCCCCGATCCATGGATTTGGCGACCGCGCGCCAAATCCATGGATCGCGAATCCATGTTTTTGCGGCCCCCGCGAGGAGGGAACCTACGGAGATCCGACGCTCCGAAAAAAATCCAAGGAGAACAAGGTGCCCATACCGCAATACCCTCGCCCCGTGTTCCCATTTTTCTGCCTCCTGGGAGGTCCTCGTCGCCACCGTTGGATTCGCCTCGAAATTCTGGTCAGAACGCACCCCGGGAGAGGTCCGGGGAGTAGCGGTATCGGTATATTTTGGATTCCCCCCAAAAATCGGAGCCTGTTTTTCTTCGAAGAAGAAAGAACGCCATAAACATAAACTTTTGGCGCTCAGCGCGGATTTCTTGGATCCGCGCTGTGGCTCCCTGGCGGCGCCGCCCCTGGCGCCGCCCCTGGCGCGCTCCGCGCACCAGGGAGGAGGTCCATCGCAGATCGCAGAAATCCGAATGGTAGATTCGGGCAAGGTGCATGGCGTTCGCCTCCCCCCGTTCCCTCTCCTCGCCCCTCTTCAAAAGCATACTCTGGCGTGCAAGTGCCTTTCGACCCGCGTTATCTCCGCACGTGCCAGTTGCATGCAGCCTGCTTCAGGTTCACGCCATCCCCCCGTCCACGCAAGTCAACTTGCTGGAGTCTACACAGAACATGCTCCTAGAGATCCGACGCTCCGACAAAAACTGGAGCGGGCTGTTTTTGGGCCGTGCTCGGCCTCTGGGGGCCTACGCGAGGTCTCGGGAGCGTCAACCTCGGGACGAAACAGCGGCACCATGGAAGTGGTCAGGATCTCCGGGGCCAATTCATCGAAACAATGGGAGCAGCCGGATGTCTGGGGAGGAGGTACGAGGAAGGAGATACGGTCGGGCCGAGGTATCAGATCGATGCCAGTTCGGGGAGAGTGCCCTAATGTTCTTCGTGTTCGTTGGATGTTCTTGTGCATCATGGGGGGGTACCGTCGATTGATATGATGGTCTGGGATGTTGCGGCCAGCGGAGGGTCTCATATTCTTGAAGCATGCAGCATGTTCTTCATCTTGGTTCCGACCGCACGGCGGGTTCGGGTCGTATCGACAGGCTGCGACCCCGCTGCCGGCGTCCACACTTTGGCGCCGCCCGTCGATCCAGAATCGGTCGACGTTGAACGATCTGACTTTTCGGAAGCGGCCGATCGTTCAAGGTTGAGCGATCGCCGCGGTGTCAGAATCCAGCGCCGAAGTCGGCACGACACGATCCTGCCGCAGTTATCGGAGGCCCAGAGGTTGGCACCAACACCAGCATCGGCGCCAGCCTCCACCGAGGGAGGCTGATCCTGATCTCGGTGATGGTGGTGATACATCGCGTCTGTGAGAGATTTTTCCTGACTTCGGCTCAACCACATTCGCGACGGCGACGGTGGAGCTTGTTCAGGACAGGCATTGCCTGGCGGCGGTCTTCGGCGAGAGCAGTTGTTTTCAGGTCGACCTAAACGAGCCGTCCCTGATACAAAATAGTGGGGGACACGCACAGGCGGATGATCTTTAGGTGAGGCGTTCCACAGCTGGCCTTGCCTTCGAGGATCGAAGGGGTGATCGTCTTTTCCGCCGCGGAAGGCGGCGGAAGGTCTGCGGAAGCAAAACGAGGCCGACTCCGGCGGAAGCCGGCGGAAGCGTGGCGGAAGGTGGCGGAAGTAAAACATGCGCCCCCAAGAGATGAACACATGTTTTGGTGTCAGGGTTTCCGGAATCGGACGGGTAGTCAAAGAAAAATGGCCAAAGAAAATCAGGAAGGGAAAAAACACACAGACACAATTAATCGTCGACTCCCAGGAAAATATGGGAAAATATTGGAATTGGGCGGGAAGAAAGAAACCAGAAAATATAGGAAATTATGGGGATTCTTTTTATTTGTGTGTATTTATTTGTGTGTCTCAGGGCCCCTTCAGAAAAACCATTTCCATTAGCATCAAGGATGGGGAGGTCAGGGGGGGCAAGGTTAGGGGGGGATCGGCTCAGAGGAGGACCCATGGGCCTCAACCGGGGGAGGCCGATCCTGATCTCGGCGATGGTGGGAACGCGCGGGCTTTGAGCTTGTCGTGCTGTTTTTTTCACTCGGGCGAGCTTACCTGCCTGGCGCTCGCCCCGCCACGGCTGGCGCTTCGCTGGCCGAGGGCTCCTGTCGTGCTTGTGCTTCTTCCTTTCCACCCGTGGAGCTCGAGGCCGCGACGCCGCGCGCGAAGCGCACCTCGTGCGGGGGGAGGCGCGCCTCCCCCCCGTTGCCCGCCGCCCCTCCGGGCGCCCGCTCTCCTCGGCGACCTGCCCAATAGCGCGCTCCGCGGGCCGCCCCGGCACGAAGGCAGAGCTACCGTGCTGTGCGGTGGCGGTCGTGGGGCTCCGGAGCGGGCTCTGGAGCTTGCCCCCAGGGTAACTGTTGGCGCTGCGCGCGGATGTCTTGGATCCGCGCTGGGCCCCCCCTGGCGGCGCCTCCGGCGCCGCCCCTGCCGCGCTCCGCGCGCCAGGGAGGGGGTCCAGAGCAGATCCGAGAAATCCGCGCGAGGCGCCAACAGTTTATGCTTATGCAGTTTTTGTTCGAGGCGCCGGGGAGCAGAGCCGTTCGTCGCGTTGCACAGAGGGAAGACACGGCAGTTTTGCAGCGGTTTCGGCTGCCGCAAAGACACTGGCGGACCTGCGCAGAGCGGGAGGGTTGAGCCCGCCATGCGGTGTCCTTTCTGTCGCTTGGAAGGACCAGAGTTTAGGGGGTCTGCCTTCACATAGCCACCGGGGCCGCCAAGCTCGCGGCTGGCATTCGGCACAAGGACGAGAAGGGATCAGAAGACTGAGTATCGCGGGAGCACCACCATTAGGGAACGGTGGTGCTTGGCAAAAAGGGGTGCGGGGCGATGGCCCTGTGTGTGTGTGCAGTGAGGAGGTGCGTTCGTAGGGCACGTGGACAAGGATGCCGCGAGCCAGGCAAGGCTGCACGCCCCGCCCCCGCCTGGTGGCGGTGGTGAACGTCCTTCCTCCGAATGGAGTAGGAGAGGGGAGGAGGAGCGAACAATGCCAGAACTGAGGGGATGATGATGAGCAGGGAGGAGAGACTAGGGGAACGAAGAATGACATAAACCTAAAAAACTCGGAGGTCCGCGCGGATTTCTCGGAACCGCGCTGGACCCCCCTGGCTTCGCCTCCGGCGCCGCCCCTGGCGCGCTCCGCGCGCTAGGGAGGAGGGTCCAGCGCGGATCCGCGAAATCCCCGCGGACCTCCGAGTTGTATGTCTATACCATTCTGTGTTCCCCTGCTCATGCTGAGCAGGGGGGAGAGACGACGACGAGGGGACGGAGCGGAGGCGCAGGAGGCAGCAGGGCCACGATTACCAAGAGACGGCGGCACCAGGAGCACAAAAACGAGAGGAGGGGGCCGAGCAGGGCCGGGGCAGCAGCACGGGCGCAACAGGAGGGGGGGGGGCGGGCGGGGGGCCAAGAGACGGGAGCCAGTGCAAGCGGGGGGCAGTCAGAGCGCCAGGGTTTAGGGTTTAGGGTTTCGGGTCAGTGCAAACGGGGGCCAGTCAGAGCGCCAGGGTTTAGGGGCCAGTCAGAGCGCCAGGGTTTGGGGGTTACGGTTTAGAGTTTAGGGTTTAGGGTCTACAAGCTCTGCTGCAGTTGATCCCCTCCTGCCTGGGAGCCCACCTGCGGCGGCTGCCAGTCCCACTCGCAAACCACCCTACCATAAAGAACTTTCGGGGACCTAGAGAGCACTTCCTTGTTATGGAAAGTCTCATAGGTGTATAACGTAAGGGAACTAGTTTTTGTTGGCAAGAGATGGCGAGGGTTTACAGCACGCATGATCAGGAAATAGTATTTGTTGCAAGGGATGGCGAGGGCTTACAGCACGCATGACCAGGAAATAATTGTTGTTGCAAGGGATGGCGCCGGTTCACATCCAGGGTTGCCAGGGCATAGTTTTGTTTGCAATGGACTATGCACGCAGGAGTTCGGATGGAATCAGGACGCGTGGAGCCAGGATGTTTAGGGTTTAGTAATTATAAGATTAAGGATTTAGGGCCAGTGCAAGCGGGGGCCCCTCAGAGCGAGATCCTGCAGAGCCAGGGGCGCACTGACCCGGGGCGGGGAGCGCTGGATCCTCCAAGGTCCTGCAGGAGTTTGCAGGATCCTGCGCAGCCCGACTGACCTGGGTCTGGATTCGATGTCCGCACGCAAACCCTACCCCCACCCCCCTTGGAGATCGTAGGAGGCTGGGGTAGGGTTCGCATGCGGGCACCTATGGATTGATCCCCAGGGGGGCAGCGCATGGTCGGCCGGGGCTAGGAGGAGGATGAATCCGTTCCAGAGCATTCGGGAACGCTATCAGAGCGCTCCGGAACGCTCTGAGAAGGCCGCGGCGCCCGGTACATCCTCCAGAGCCGCCAAACCTCAGAGATTCTCGATTTATCCTCGTCCGAATTTGTGTTTGTCCTGGCTTCGTCTTATATGGGTAAGAGGCTGGGGAGGAGGAGCGAATAGCCGTCGCCGCGCTGCTGACGGGCGGCGCGATCGGCGTGTCCTGTGGTACGATATGCCACCGGCCTGGCCGCGCTCTGCTCTGCATATACCTTGGGAGCTAATTATACCTTGCAGGCGCGCGCGCCCGAGGGGTCAGTCGGACGTCGTTGGAAGGCCAAGGCTACCTGCTCCTTTAAGACCAGCATCTTGGGCCGATGCCAAATACCTCTCTCACGTCCTAGCCAAAAGCGTCTACGGACACATTGTGTGCCGTGACGTCCACAGACACTTTCGGGGTGGATACGTCTATGGACAACGTGGCTGTTGCGTTCGGCGCGGGGCAAGGTCGGAGAAAGGGTAGATCCGTCTACAGTATGTCCCTGGTCTGGAGCAGCTCCAACACAGTAATTCAAGGGCGTTGCTAGAATCGGCGGCGAGCGAGGGGGGGAAGTGAGAAGGAGCAGGCCTTCTCAGAAAGCGGCGAGGCTTCTCAGAAGCCCTCGCGCCTTCTGAGAAGTCTTGTTTGTCTTTGGAGAAGGACTTCTCTCAGAAGGCCGGGAAACTTCCCCCTGCATGCCGGGGGCCGCCTGCCAGGCGCGCGCCCGAGAGGTCAGTCGGACGTTGCCAGGAGTGTCCCTGGCCCAAGGTGCCCCCAGCATAGCCTATAGCTGCCCCGATACGCAACACGCGAGACGTAGCGCATTGATACAGAGCTCAACACGTAGACTGAACACGTAGGTTTGACGCGATACGTTCGCCAAAACATGGGCCAATACGCTGAGCCAATTGATGTTGCTCGAGGTGCTCCTGGCCTAAGGTGCACCCAGGGTCCCGAGGAGGTACCCACGGCCTCCAGAGTACCCCTCACCGTAGCTGCCCTGATACGCCAGCTTTGAAACGCAACACGTACCGTGTGCAAAACCTCCGTGTTAACACGCTGCGTATTGGCTGGGCACGTGTTGGCCCACGTTTTGGCGAACGTGCCGAGTCACGCCAAACGTACGTTTTTCAGTCTACGTGTTGAGCCTTGTGCCAACACGCTGCGAGTTGCGTGTTGCGTATCGGGGCGGCTGAGCCCCTCACGGTGCCCAAGGGGTTCTGGGGTTCCAGGGAGCTTTAGAAACCCAAGAGGCAGAGGTTTTGGTTGCAAGTTGTGGGAGCCGCTTGTGTCCTTGCAGCTCCGTCTTTGGAGCGCAACAGCGTGCGCTAGCGTCTGGCCACCGATGAGAACGCGCCGGTCCAGCGTCGACTAGCGTCGGTCATCGTGGATTCGCAAGAGCCAGGAAGACAGTGCGGTAGGCCCCCATGAGCTGCCGAAAGGGGTGTTGGCCTTCGGGCCTGTTACGATCAGGAGCTCTGGCTTACCGTGTCGCTCCACCGCTTCTGGCGAACCACGCTTCGGCGCGACTCGGTATCCACGCCCCCCCCGCTTCCGAGCGTCAACATCCCGAGCCGTCGTGGAGCGGAGCGGCCTGCCATCCGCTTGCAAGGCATGGCGTATCGCCTGGGCCGCCGCCGCGACACGCTGAGCAGACGTGCCCGACCGCAGCGCCCAGGGCCAAGCGGAGGTGCCGCCGCCGGCCGGCGCCGGCGACCTCGACGGCGAGGATGCGAGCAGTGGCGAAGCGTCCTGGCTTCCCTGTAGGCCCACCGAAGAATGTTCGAAGAACCTGTTGCGATCGTTACGAAATGTTCTTGGAGCATTTCTGGCTGAGACTGTCTTGTCCAAAGACATCGGGCATCGGTTCTAACAACATGGTGTTTGCTCTTTCAACATCTTTGGTTTCTAAGAGCATGTCGTGGTAGGTGCTTCTAGGAGTGCCAGGACGGTCGGGGACGAGTCACCCCCACTGGCCCGCAGGATTGCACCTGGGGCCAGTGGTCCGACTGGGGCGACTGCTCCAAGTGCGGGGGGCAGCGCTGGCGCCACCGCTCGGCGCGGGCCCTCAGCGCGGCTGTCGGCCGGCGCGGCGGCGTCTTCGCCGTCGTCGTCGGTCGTCGTCATCGTCGTCGGTCGTCGTTGGTCGTCGTCGTTCGCCGTCGGTCGTCGTCGGTCGTCGTCGTCGTCGTCGTCGTTGTCGTCGTAGTCCGTCGTCATCGTCGTCGTCGTCGTCGTTGGAGTCGTCGTCGGCGTCGTCGTTGGCGTCGCCGTCGTCGTCGTCGTCGTCGTCGTCGTCGTCATCATCAGTAGCAGCAGCAGCAGCATCATCATCATCAGCATCAGCAGCAGCAGCATCATCATCATCATCACCTTCCTCGTCGTCGTCGTCATCGGCGAGGGCGTCCTCCAGCGGCTTTCGGCGGCTTTTGGCGGCCCAGGCAGCGGCTTGGCCGCGGCGGCGGCGCGACGCCATCGTATGCGTCGTCGTCGTTCTATTCGCCGTGTTCGTCGTCGTGGTCGCTACGTCTGTCGCTGTCGTTATCGTCGTCGTTCTGCTCCTCCTGCGTCCTCCTTCTTCTCCTCCTTCTCCTTCTCCTCCTCCTCCTCCTCCTCCTCCTCCTCCTCCTCCTCCTCCTCCTCCTCCTCCTCCTCCTCCTCCTCCTCCTCCTCCTCCCCCTCCCCGTCCTTGCTCCCCGCCCTTCCTTCCCCGTCCTTGCGCTCCTTCCCTACCTCTCTGTCCCTCCCTCCGCCTTGTTTATCCTTTCTTCCTCCTCCCCCCCCTCCTCGTCCTCCCTACCCCTTTTTGTGTTGATCGGACTTCAATCCACATGGATGGCAGCGTCAGCCTCGTCTTCCTCTTTATCCTCCTCCTCCTCCTCCTCCTCCTCCTCCTCCTCCTCCTCCTCGTCCTCCCTCCCCTCCCTCCCCTACCCTCCCCCCGCGCGGTGCCGCGTGTGCGCGGGAGCTCGTGTTGGTGGCGTGGGTCTGTGGGTAAATAAAGGGATGAGGGGTAGGAAGTGGGTCTGTGGGAGGAGGAGGAGGAGGAGGAGGAGGAGGAGGAGGAGGAGGAGGAAGATGCGGAGGAGGAAGATGCGGAGGCGGAGGAGGAAGAGGGGGAGGTGGACGAGGTTGAGGGGGGGACGTGTCTTCCCCCCCCTCCCCTCCCCTCCCCTCCCCCTTTCAAGCAGTGGCGAAGCGTCCTGGCTTGCCTATAGGCCCACCAGAGAAGGTTTGTAGAGCCCTTCGCGGTTTGCGCAACACGTTCTCAGAACACTTCCGGCCGACACTGTTCTGCTTTCACACATCGGCGCTGTGCTCCAAGAGTCTGGCATTCGTCCGATGAACACAGACATGCCTGCCGGTCCTTGCTCACCCCCGTGCTCCGAGCCGCTCGCCCGGCTCGAGCCCCATGAAGGCTCGCCGCTAGGGGCGCCCCCCCTCCCCCCCGCCCCCCGGGAGCGCAGGGAGGGAGGGGGGGGGCGCACCGGCCGCCCCCTCGCGCGGCCGCATGCAGCCCGTGAAGGCGCCGCCCGGGGGGGGGGGAGCCGCAGGGAGGGGGAGGGTCAGAGGAGAGCCAGGCTTGGGGGAGGCGCAATCGAAGAAGAACAGAAGGCGCCACGAACATAAGCTTTTGGCGCTCCGCGCGGGTTTCTTGAATCCGCGCTGGGCCTCCCGAGCCGCCCTTGGCGCGCTCCGCGCGCCAGGGAGGTTCAGCGCGGATCCAAGAAATCCGCGCGGAGCGCCAACACTTTTTGTTTATGACGATTTTTCTCTTTGACGTAAGACTCGAGTGCGCTGGAACTCGGGTCTGCCGACGCTTTTTGACGAGCTCGTCCTGGGTTTTGACGGTCCAGGTCTCGTGTGGTGTCTGCCGCGGGAGTTCGCGTCAAATTTCAGAGTTGGCCTCGTCATTCTCACGATGGCCCCGGCAGGCCAGCCCGAGTCCCCCGAACTCGGGTCTCACGTCGTTGGGACAGTGGTTGTTCGCCCGGGGGTGGCCCCGTCGTCACCACGGCGAGACGCAGCTCAGAGAACGGCCGCGCGGGGGCCCCGCGAGGGGTTGGCGGGGCCCACGCCGAGCGCCGCCCTCCTCCGCCCGCTCGCCTCCGTGCGGAGGCGGGGGAGGAGCCGGGCGTGCAGCGGGCGCACCGGGTCCCAGGCGTGCTCGCCCCGTGGAGAGCACTGCGGCGGGAGGTTTCTTGGCCGGTCTCGGCCTCGGGGGGCCGTCGCCGGGCCCCGGGGGCCGTGGAAAGGGTCGACAGGTCTGGTGGCCCGGGATGGGGGAAAAGTCAAGACATGTCAAGACATCGGATGTCTGGGATGGATACGAAGCTGGCCTGCCCATGGTTGCCCCGCGGGAGTTTCGCATCTTCCGCTGGGTCCGCAGGGCCCTGAGGCGCCCCAGGAAGCGCAGAGCAGAGCCGGCGAAGGATTCGCCCCAAATATTTCTCATAGTAGGATTTCTGATCGCAATCGCATGCGCCTGCTGTGTATAAACCATCGCTTGGCTGGCCAGAGGGCCGAGGAAATCGTCGGAGGACATCGGCGGACATGCGCTCCAGCGCTCCGCAGCTTCGGAAGCTGTGGCGTCGATCATGCACCAGGTTTCTTGGTCGACCACGCGACTCGGTGCCTGCTTCGAGCGTCTCCCAGGGGGGCCGTGGTTCAGATGACTCGTTCGTGGCGTTCGGCATCGTCGGCGTCTACGATTTCTAAGTTAACGTAGGGGCCTCTGGCCTGTGCCACCGATGCGGGCGGGTCGCTCCAGGACGCTCCGTGCAAACACATGTTGTTAAATGGTTTGTGTGCTTGACCGCGAGGAGGCAGGAGATGGAGGATGAGGAGGGATGAGGCGGAGGAGGAGGAGGAGGAGGAGGAGGAGGAGGAGGAGGAGGAGGAGGAGGAGGGAGGGGGGAGGAGAGGAGGGGGAGGAGGAGGAGGAGGAGGAGGAGGAGGAGGAGGAGGAGGAGGAGGAGGAGGAGGAGGAGGGTGTTGGCAGTGGCCTTTGGCAACATAGGTTGTATGGAATGTTTGCGTCGTGTCCGTCTGTCGGGCTTGTCGGCGGGCTAGTTCCCGGACGGGTTGGCTCGTCGGTGGGTGGTTGGGCGGGTCGTAGCGTGAATCGTTCATAGAATATTTCTCTGCTGTCCCGTCATTTCTATCTTCTCACAGTTGGTGGCCTTCGGTCCATCCCGCCACCTTGCCTGGGTTGTGGGTCCGAGGCTTTTTGGAGGTTCGTTGGGATCTCATTGGAAGTTTCTCGTGGGCCTCTTGGAGGCAGTTGTGAAGCTTCTTGGGGGCCGTTTAGGGACCTCTCATGGGCCATGGGCCTCTTGGGAGCGGCTTGGGGCTTCTTGGGGGTTCTGGGAGGCCCGTTGGACCTCTCGGGGGCCTCTTTAGGCTTCCTTGGGGCCTCTTGGGGCGGAAGGCTCAATCGTCGGTTCATGTTTCCCCTCTTGGGGCTGTCTTGGGGCCCCTCTTGGGCGCATCTTGGGCCGTTTTTGTGCCCTCTCGAGGCCCTCTTCGGTTGTTTTGGGGCGGTTTGGGGGACCTCCTGGGCCGTTTTGAAGCGTGGGAAGCTCGAAAAGGCGACGGCTTCACCACCAACATCATCAACCATCTACAGGAATAATATTCCAAACCAGTAAAACTAGTAAATCAACTATTCTGGGGACGATTTTTCTATTATATAGGCTTACGCCACATCCGCCGACCCCTCTATACACTACTGCGCCTCCAGGACTGCATTCCCGAGGCTTGTTCGAGGCAGTTTCGAAGGGTCTTGGGGGCCGTTTGGGGGATTATTTTGGGCCTCTTGAGGGCTCCTTAGGGGCCTCTTGGGTGCCTCATGGGGGCCTCTTGGGGCCGCTTGGGGGCCTCTTGGGTCCTCCAGAGAGGTTCGTTGGGCGGAGCGCTGGAATTCGCGGTTCGTGGTCCCTCTCTTGGGCCTTTTTTGGGGCCGTTTTGGAGTTCTCTTGGGCCATCTAGGGCGCCTCTTGGGCCACGTTGGAGTTCCTTTGGGTTGTCGTTGGGGCCTCCTGGGAGCCTCGCGAGCCGTTTTGGGGTGGTCCTGGGGGCCGCGTTGGGGCTTCGTGGACGGTTTCCAACGCCGTGAAGGCTAACAAGCTGGATATACTGAAAATGCACGTTCTCCCAAACAAACCCAAGATTTAGGTTTCTTTGGGGCTTCGGGGGGTGCCTCTTGGAGGCTTCGCGGGGTGTCTTGGCGGCCTCTTGGGCCGTTTTGAGCTCATCTTGGGCGTCTTGGAACGATCTTTCGGCGACTGTGGGTTCTCGTGGACCGTCTGGGCGGCTTCTTGGGAGGCGTCAAGTGCTGTCGTGCAGCTCAAGAGCGAGCCCAGGGAGCCCAGACCGCCCCGCGTGAGTTCGGTCCGGGGTCACCCTCGGCCGGGGGTGGGGTCAAAATCCCAGTTTGGGGTCCCTGGGGAGGGATTATGGGGGGGGGAGCGATCTCACAGGCCTGGAGACCCACAAGGGGTCGGCGAATTCTGTTTTCATGATTTTTGAGTATGTGTTGGCTATTTCTGATGCTTCGCCCAAAGTCCGCCTGTAGGGGGACATGCCCGACCCCACATTAGGTCGCAGGGGGGCTGCGCCTGTCAGCAGGGCCTTCGCAGGGGGGGGGGTATCGCAGGGGTGCGGGGATCTCATCGGTCAGGGGGCGAAGCATCAGCACCGGGCTGAGTCTGGCATGTCCCTCTACAGGAGGCGTATTCCAAAATGGTAGGATAGATCGTCGGGACGATTTCGAACTTATTGTTAGGCTATGTGTGCATATGTTTGGCTATTTTTGCACGTTCGCACAAAATCCGCCTGTAGGAGGACATGCCCGACCGAAGCATCGGGTTGGTTCCAGTTTGCTGCGCGAGCGGGGCGGACGAATCCTGCCCCCCCCTCGCAGCGCGTGCTCTCTTCGACAGGTCGACTATCGGAGGAGGAGGCGGAGGAGGAGGAAGAGGAAAAGGAGAAGGATGTGGACGACGACGGGAGGACGAGGAGGAGAACGGGGAGGACGACGAGATGAAGAGGAGGAGGAGGAGGAGAACGAGGAGGAGGAGGAGGAGGAGGAGGAGGAGGAGGAAGAGGCACATGGAGTAAAACAGAGCGGGCAACGAGGGTGAACTGAGAAATCTCTGGGAAGGATGGGGAGCTCTGGAAACCCTCTTGGGTTCGTGTCCGGAGCCCACGTGACGGGCGTCAAGGATAAGGAGGAGGACGAGGGCGAAGATTGTGATGAGGAGAACGAGGACAAGGAGAAGGGCGATGACTAGGACAAGGAGGAGGACGTGGACGATGCGGACGAGGAGTAGAAGGAGGAAGAGGAGGAGGAGGAGGAGGAGGAGGAGGAATAAGAAGACGACGACGAAGGCGAGGTGAGGATGAGAAGGAATTGGAGGAGGAGGAGGAGCTGGGGGGACGAGGAGGAGAAGGAGGAGGAGGAGGAGGAAAAGGACCAGAACGATAACGAGGCCGGGTAGTAGAATGAAGACGCGGAGGAGGAGGGGAAAGATGGAGGAGGGGGTGGATGAGGACGAGAGGACGAGAAGGAGGAAGAGAAGAATAATGAAGAAGAAGAAGAAGAGGAGGAGGAGGAGGAGGAGGAGGAGGAGGAGGATAAAGGACAAGGACGAGGAGGACGACGAGGACGAGGTGGATGACGATGAGGATAAGGATGATGAGGAGGAGGACGAGGAGGACGAGGAGGAGGAGCAGGAGGAGGAGGAGGAGGAGGAGGACGAGGACTCTGGCAGTCATCTTGGGGCTTTCTTAGGGCTCTCTTGTGGTCCTCTTGGGGCTCTCTCGGGTCCCTCACTCGGGGCGCTTCTGGGGTTCTTTTGAAGTTCTTTGTGGGAGAGTTGGGGTCCTCGTGCGGTTGTTGTAGAAGGTCTTGGGGCCCTCTTGAAGCCCTCTTGGGGACCTCTTGGAGCCCTGGGTGGCCTCTTGGGGCCATTTGGAGGCCATCGATTCAAGGGTGGGGGGCCTTGGCCTCTTGGACCATATTGGGGCCATTTCGGGGCCTCAAAAGCGCATCGGAAGCGAAAGTGCGAGAAGGCAACCACCACTGATTGCCCTAAGGTTGTTTTACTGATTGGGGCATCTTGGGGGGGTCCTGGGAGGACCCCGAGGGCATTTGGAGCCGTCTTGTGGCCGTCTGCGGGCCTCTTGGAGGTATGCGGACCATTTCTGGGGCCATCTTCAGCTATCTTGAGCCATTCGGGGGGCAGTAGTTTCGCGTCGGACGCCCTCACGGAGCCATCTTGGGCCATCTGGGGGGCCCTTACCGCTCGCCCGCCGCCCTCCCCCCCCAGAAGCAAAAACATATACAAAACCTTGGGGGGGGAGGGGGAGGGCACTTCTCCCCGAAGGGATGAGGGGTGCTGGAGGAGGAAGGGCGGAACTCTCTAGACCACCTACGCCCAGAGGGCTGGTGGAATTTCCTGGAAGGGGCGAAGGGTGGTGAATCGAATGCGGAAGCGCCTATGTGGCCGAACGTTGTGGCCAGAGCTCGTTCAATCTATCGGGTTATGTGCTGCCCTAGCCGTTGTGAAAACGTTTCGGGGAACACGGGAACACGTTCGGGAGGAAGGGGAGGAGGGATCTTCGTGGAGGTTCTCTCGAAGACCCCGTGGGGGGCCTCTCGGGCCGTCTTGGGCTTTCTTACGGTCACCTTAGGCCATCCTGGATGCATCTTGGGCCGTCTTGGCGCCATCATGAGGCCATCTTGGGTTCTCTTGAAGGTCATCGTAGCCGTCTTGGGGACCATCTTGGTTGTCTTGGAGGCCATCCTGGGGCCGTCTGGAGCGGGGAGAGAAATGACTTGGGAAGGTTACGAGTCCTTCTCGGGCGACCTGTCGGGTGGAGGCCCATCGAAACCGAAGTTATTGCGGCGCTCCGGGTGGCCAGCGGGTTGAGCCGACAGCCCATTGGGAATTTTGAGAAAGGACCAACACTTACCTAACGTCTGACACCCCGTGCACCCCCGTGGCAAGCCAACGGGCGGCGAACCTCGACGCCCCTTCGGCCCAACCCGTCATCGTGCCTGGGTTGTGGGCGAAAGTCTCCTGAATGCCTCGCGGGGTATCCGGGAGGGCCTCTTGGTCGGGGTCTATTGGGGGTGTCCTGGGGGCATCTGGGGTGGGGGGCCTCTTGAGGGCCTGGTGACGGTCTCGGAGTTCGTGCTTCCGCTCGTGGGGCCATGTTGCGTGCCCCTTGGGGGGTTCGGCGGAGGCCCTGCTTCGATATTCGGCGCCTCTTTTGAGCCTCCTCAGGCGCCCTGACAACCGTACATCAGAGCTGCCCCACATCGCACGAGCATCAAGCGTGCTTCCATGGTTCGGGTCTCTGGCCAGCCCCCGGGGCCTCCTAGGCGGCACAAGATGTGCCCAAGAGGGCTTCCGCCCAGTCAAGCAACGTTCCAAGAAGAAGCCACTCCATACAGTAGGAGGAGGAGGAGGAGGAGGAGGAGGAGGAGGAGGAGGAGGAGGAGGAGGAGGAGGAGGAGGGGAGGAGGAGGGGGGGGGGGAGGTGAGGAGGAGAGGAGGAGGAGGAGGGGAGGAGAAGGGGAGGAGGAGAGGAGGAGGAGGAGGGGAGGAGAGGAGAGGCAGGAGGAGGAGGAGGAGGAGGGGGAGGAGGGAGGGGGAGGGGAAGGAGGAGGAGGGGGGGGAGGGGGAGGGGGAGGGGAGGGGAGAGGAGGAAGAGGAGGAGGAGCGGAGAGGAGGAGGAGGAGAGGAGGAGGAGGAGGAGGAGGAGGAGGAGGAGTTACGAAGGAGGAGGAGGGAGTATTAGCAGGAGTAGGAGGAGGAGGAGGAGGAGGAGGAGGAGGAGGAGGAGGAGGAGGAGGAGGAGGAGGAGGAGGAGGAGGAGTGGGGGAGGCATCAGCCCACGCTCGCCCGCACATCGCCAACATGGGGCCCGACGGCCCCACCCCGCTGCAGCAGCGTGCGGGTTCGCCGTCGGGGACCTGTCTCGCCGATCTGTCGGCTAGCTGTCGCCGTCTCGAGGTCGATGCTTCCCCCCGTGCGGGGCTCCTTTCGATTCCCCCGATTCGATTTGATTCGATTTCGATGGCATCCGATTCCGATTGGATTCGACTTCGGATTTCGATTCGGGCTCCGATTTCCCAACGGAGGCCCACTAGACTGCCGTCTTCTGCCGTTTGGACTTGTTCCGACTCGGCTGCCGATTTCCGCCGATCCGATTCATTTCGATTGCCGACCCGACTTATCGATTCGATGTTCGGCTCTCCTGTCAGTCCCTCCCCCTGACGGTCCCCCTCGAGAGGGTGGGGGGCTACGATCAGCTGTGTCGGGTGCGACCTCAGTACAGTGGAGAGACCAGTGCCAGGAAGCACCCTGCCTGCCTCCAGGGTGCCCTCCGAGTTTCTTGGACTTCGATGGTCTTGCTATGGAGAGCGTGACGTTCCCACATTAATAATCCATGAACGTCCTGGTGTTCCAGGGTCGGGTTTCTTGTGGGAGGTATCTTGTGGTCGAGGCGCGGGCAAGCGCGCAGCAGGGGATGCTTACCATATGGCCCGATCCCCCGTCACAGAGGTAGTTCTGTGGCGGTGCCGCCATGCACACTACGGTCGAGAGCATGAAAAAAACAGTCGCTTCGACCCCCTCTCGCTCCAAATACGTGGGTTGGGTTTCTCGTGGGAGGTCTCTTATGGTCGAGCTCCTGCTGCATGGAAGCCAACACCGAGGGCAGGAGGGGCCGAGAGCGGCTCCCCGCTCGAGAGCGACCCACTGGCTGCACTGCGGGCGGGGTGGAGGGGGGAGGGGCGACGACGACGCGGGGGCTGGCCCTGCGGCCCCCAGAATACACGCACACCACCACCACCACCACCACGTCGATGCCTCCTCCCTCCTCCACCTCCACCCTCTCCTCCACCCTCTCCACTTTCTTGGTAGAGGGAGGGGATGAGGGAGGTGGTGGTGCACCTCCACACCACCACGTGGTGGCGATCCACCCTCTCCTCCTCCACCTCCCACACCACCCTCTCCTCTTTCTTGGGAGAGGGAGGGGATGAGTGAGGTGGTGGTGGTGTACACCTTTGGGCCCCGTGTGGCTCAGGCGGGCGCATCAGCGAACCCCCGATCGCCCGCTGCTCGGACTGGAGCCCAGCCGCCGCCGTCTGCCCAGGAACGTGCCCTTCTGCTGCCGAGGTCCTGTTCGCCGATCCACAGTCGGCCCTGATCAGCAGGTCGACCCTGCCAGATCAAGCGTACCCCTCGTGCCCTGTGCCTCGCGGCCCATGCCCCCGACGTTCCCGTGGCCGTGTGGCCCTCGAAGGGGTCCCGTGCCCTCTCGCGTGCCCTATCCAACCAAGCCCGACTGCCTCGGCGACATCTGCCGCCGACTCTTGGCCCGAGGCGCGCCCTCCCCCAGGGGCGGCTCCCGGCGGGCGCCCAGGCCCCCCTGGCGCCGCGACCCGTGCTCGCGACGGCCGCCCCCCGCAGGGGCCTGGAGGCCTGCCCCGGGATCCGCTTCCTCTCGCCCGGAGCCCTCCTGTCTTCGGCGGGATCCCGAGGCCCGGGGAGGGCCCCCGGAGGCCGACCATATTGAGCTTGTGCCTGTTTCCGGGGTCGGGTCGACCTCCTATACGTATACCCTGACGCATCGATGCAGGAGTTGGCCGTTTTCGGTTCGCGAGAGGGCGTCGCGGCCGTCATTTTTGCGGGTCCAGGTCCGTCGGTTTCAGTCCTGGGCCGGTTTCACGAAAGGGAGGTTTACTAAAGGGAGGTTTAGACCCCGGCAAGTTTACTTGCATGGATCGTAGACGCGCCAACGGTGTGTTAGCTAACGGCGAAGTTGGAAAGCCAATCGTAAGAGGGCGTGGTTCGTGGCCAAACTACTTGTAGGAGTGCGTGGCTCGCGTTTTCTTACAACTCGCTGTGTCGTTTTCGTTCGATACATTCGCATATTTCAAATGTATGAAACGGTGGTTCGTGATTTCCTACATTTTGTTTTGCGTGAGCTCGGTTTCGCAAAAACAAAATTCCCAACTGCGCCGTTAACCAAGCACGCCGTCAGCGCGGCTTTGGATGGACGGGGGGGGGCCTGGACCGGAAGCAGGAAGAACGGCTTGCACGTGCGGAAGCCACGCAAGTCGGAAGGCACCTGCACGCTGGTATTCGTTTGAAGAGGGGCGCGAGGGGGCGAGGAAGGCCATACAAGTAAGCTTGCCCGACTCTAACAGGAACTGCTCATAGCAAAACACCTCCCGTCGCGACTCCTGTCGCAGCGCGAGGGGGCTGGGCGCCGGCCCCCCCCCGCGCGCCACGGATGGTTGCGCCGCCCCGCTGCAGAACGTAGCAAAGGCGCGCAGGGGCGGCACCTCGGAGCGGCCCGCCCCGCGCCATGGCGTCGGGGCCGGACGCCTCCGAGGCCACGCCGCTCTTGGGCCGCGCCGCCACCGACGGCTTGGGCCGCGTCGCCACCGACGGCGACGACAGCCAGGACCTCCTCCTCCTCCTCCTCCTCACTTCTTCTTCCTCTTCCTCCTCCTCCGTCATTTGCTCCTCCTCCTCCTACTCCTCCGCCCCCTCCTCCTCCTCCTCCTCCTCCTCCGCCTCCTCCGTCTTAATTTATTTTCCTTGTCAATAAGTTTTCCTTGTCGCACCCCGAGTCCAGTTTTAGGGCGGGCCGGGCGTTTCGCCTGAGACTCCCTCATCGTTCATGAACCTGAGGTTTAAACATCAGCAACCGTTTCACAGATGGAGGGCGGGTCGTTTTCAAAATGTGGTTCTCGCCTTAGCGCTGCGCGCATTAATTTTAAACATGTGCAAGAGATTCACGGATTGAGGGCGGATCGTTTTCAAAATGTGGTTCTCGTCTTAGCGCCGCGCACATTCAGTTCAAACATTTGCAAGAGTTTCACGGGTTGAGGGCGGGTCGTTTTCAAAATGGTGTTCTCGCTTTAGCGCCTCACATTTTCGGTTTAAACATTTGCCACAGTTTCACGTATTGAGTGCGGCTCCTTTTCAAGATGTGGTTCTCGCTTTGGTGCCGCGCGCATTGTTTAAACATTACCATGATTAACGTAGCAGACATGGTGTTTTGTCAGGGTTCAGGAGCATGAGGGTGCAACAGTTACATTGATTCGCGGCGTCGAAGTCCCAGGAATGGCGTTCTGGCACGATTCCGGATCGTCAAGACGTAAACATCAGGTTGGTCCGTGGCGTTGGCATCCCGAGAACAATGTTTTGGCATGTTTCAGGGTCTTCAAACGGTTGTCTTCTTCCAACGAGGCAGTTCCCCCTGCAGAAATGAACCGTTGTAGGGGTCTATGAGGAGGGAATTTGGAGGGAGGGTTTGTTCCAACATCGTTTATGACGCTTGGGTTTACACTGGTCCTCCTCCTCCTCTTCCTTCTCCTTCTCCTCCTCCTCCTCCTCCTCCTCCTCATCATCATCATCATCATCATCATCATCATCATCCCACCCCGCTCCCACTCTTCATTATACCTATCCTTCCTCCCTCCCTCCTTTCCCTCCTGTGAGCTGACGATCCCCATCCAGACATGCTCGCGTCGCAAAAGGGTAGATGACGACGAGGGGTCCCCTGGGTGTCTGCGTCAGGCCTCGGGCGCTGGGACCCTCACAGTGCGGTCCAGCCCGAGAAATGGCAAAGAAAGATTGAGTACAGGGCTCTTACGATGTTTCAATTTTTTCGCGCCGTCGGTTCTCAGGCAGGGCCGCGCTGCAAAACCAATAAATTACGACGAGAGGTCTGTTGCTGTTTTCGGTGTCTTCGGGCCCTCGCAGGGCCCCAGGACCGTCGACGAGCGACCTGGTATGAAAAATCCAGTCCTGGGGAGATGGCCGGGATATGTCTGGAGACCCTGTGCGGACAAACATTCATGGCATCGCATGGCGGGCTGGCACGATGACGGGGGCGAGGACCGACCGCCGCCCATGTCCATCTTGGACAGGGCCCGCCGTCGGTGTCGGCCGCGGGTGCCGCCGCGCAAGGTTGAGGGCATTGGGGTCGGCTGCCCAGCAGCGGCCGGTGCTGGTTTGGGGCAGCACTCGCTGCTCGGCCTCGTGCTTGTCTTTTTCCGTGTCCATGTCGGGCGTGCCGGCAGGACGGTGCCAGCAGGAGGGCCACCCCAAGGACCCCGAGAGGGAGATTCCGCTGGGCCTCGCGGATAGACATGGCCGCGCAGCGCAAGTCTCTGCACGAGTGGAGCAGGGAGAAGCTCAGCAGGGTCAAGAGCAAGATGTCTCACTCCTACAATTGCTACAGCCTCTCCCAGAGCCACTGCAACATTGACACCAACGAGGAGGGGTACACGACACTGGGAGGCTATGATGTCCAGAAGCTGACCACCATGCGCGTCTTCTACGTGTATACTGGCACGGTTCTCGAAAGCCCGATCCTGTGGATAGAAATGGCAGTCATCGCCGTGGTCTACTTCCTGACGTTCACGGTTCTGATGCGATACAGGTGGCAGGGGTTCAGCGCCTTCGTCGGGAGCGACACAGAAGTGAGAGCCTTCATCTCCATGTTCTCCACGCTCATCGGGCTGCTCCTGTCTTTCTACACATCGCTGAACATAGGCCGCTGGTGGAACATGCGGACCTGCGGTATTGAGAACATTGCCCAGGGCGCGTCCAAGCTCACCATCCTGCTCTCGCAGGGCGTCACCAGGAACGTAGAGATCTTGAGCGCCGTCCGGCGGTATTCAGGAGGGAAAGAAACACACAGACACAATTAATCGTCGATTCCCAGGAAAATATAGAAAAATATGGGAAGTGGGGGGGGACGACAAAAACCCAGAAGATATAGGAAAATATGGAGACTATTTTTATTTGTGTGTATTTATTTGTGTGTCCTGGGGCCCCTTCAGGTATGCCATCGCTTCTTTGATGCTGTTCTTCCTCAAGGACAAGGACGGGGAGGAACGGCTGGACAAGCTGGTCGAGAGGGAGGTCCTGACCCCCGAGGAGGCCAAGCAGCTGGCCAGCGCGGGAGAGAGCGAGTGCTACCCCGAGGCCCTGTGGGTCTGGCTCGCCAACATCGTCTCGCAGTGCAACCAGGCGGGGCTCGTGAAGGGCCCGCCGCACTACTGCGCCCTGCTCTCCGCGGTGGAGGTGGGGCGCAGCGGCGCGGCCGTGATCAAGGCCTTCCTGGGCACACCCATCCCCATGGGGTACGTACACCTCTTGGGCCTGATGGTCAAGCTCCACAACGTTATCCTGGCACTCCTCATGGCCCTGGTGTCCGTGAAGCACGCGGGGCGCTATGACTCGGTGTCCACTGCCCGTGCCGTGTTCCGGTGCTTCTTCATGCCGTTCTTGTACAATTCCATCCTGATTATCAACGATGAGCTCACAGACCCTTTTGGCCACGACATGTCGGACTTCCCCGCTCACGTGATGTGCCGACGCCTCAACAGTGACTTGTATAGTTTCGTCGAGATGGGCGACAATTTACCCGACTGGATCGAGAACCTCGACCTGAAGAAAGAGGAGGCGTAGTCATCGGGCCTGGATGCTGCTCCACAGGTATGGATGCTGCGTAGGGCGTTCCGATGAGCCTGATCGTCGCACGTTTGAGAGGAAACATGTGGATTGCTGAAAGGGAGAAAATGCGCCCACGACGGCCCCATGACAGGCCCTGACGCCATCTGAGGCCATGTTGGTCGTACGGAATCCCATCATATCCCACTGGGATTCCATGACGGGCCCTGACACCACCTGAGACCATGATGGACATGTGACATCCCAACATCCCCCGTCTACGAGTGATCCATCACGGGCGCCGACACCATCTCAGGCTATGCTGAACGGAATCACAGCATACGTAATCATCCCAAGCACGCTCCCGAGGGCTCTGAGCAGTTCGCGTGAGCGGCTCCAGGAGCGCCTGGTAGCGCCCGAGGATGCCGGATTTTTTCGGCCTGGGCCCCCTCAAGAGTATGTACAGCACCCGGGACTTCGAGGTGGCTTGATTGGAAGTCTTCGAGTTGCGCACGGACAGCCCCCCTTGGTATAGTCCCAGTTGGCCTCCTCAGGCTCCCCGAGCAGTCCCAGCTGCCCGAGTAGTCCAGGGCGGTCTTAACACTCTGGCACCGCGTCCCGCGGCGCTCCTGAGGCGCTGAACGCCCTGGAGTTGCGGTGTTCAGACCGCCCTGGTCTACTGGGGAGGCCCGCAAAAAAAGGATTGCAAACAAACGAAGGATTGCAACAAAAACGAAGGATTGCAAAAAAACGAAGGATTGCAAAAAACGAAGGGTTTTTTTTGGAATCCTTCGTTGAAGCCAGCTGGGACCTACTCGGGGGAGCCTGCTGAGGCCAGCTGGCAGGGCCTGGGGGGGCCAGCTGTGCGCAACCCGAAGGCTCACAGGCACAACACTGGAGAGCTCCAGTGGACGTGAGGACGCTCTCCACTCAGTGCCCACGGCCCGGGGGCCGTGGTGGTAGGGGAGAGGGCAAGGATCGAGCTTCCAGGAGCGAGGCGTGGGTGTCTTTCTCCCTGCTGGTGTCTCGGAGGAGCTTTTCGTCGCCACGGCCGGACTTGTTTCGAACTCCTGCCACGACGGGCCCGGATGCTCCCGTCACGGCCCACGCCGGCTCCCGTCGGCCTTCGTGAGGGCCCGAAGATTGCGAAATCATAGATTGTCTTCCACGTTGTGCACGATTTCCACGCTTTCGTCTTCCAGAGCTCCTGGCAGCCAAGGACAGCCCCAGAGGATGCCAGGGTGGCCCCGAGGCCTCTGGCGCCCGCCCCCCTCGGGTCGGCCCGCCCCTCGGAGCGGGAGCGTGTCCACACCCACCGCTGCCCATGGATCTACACCCACCGCTGGGCCATCACCCACCTGGCCGGTGACATCCTCGGCATACACGCCGCCGTCGGGAGTGGTAATCCACCAGTGCTGGCCGCCTCCAGGGTATAGCAGCAGACTCTCGTGACACGCCGTGTCTCGAGGGTACCCGGAGCCCCAGCCGGAGCCCCAGCCGCCCCCACCGCTGCCAACACCCACCGGGGGCATCGGCGTCACCCCAACATACTTATACTATGTGTGCGTCGCCCCCCAAGGAGGCGACGCGCGCCCCGAGAAATCTTGTGGCATATGCGTCGTGGCGGGCGCTTTCTGGCCACACCGCTCGGGAAACGACATGCTGCAAAGAGGGTATACTCAATGTGCGGGTCGGACGCGCGCCTCCAAGGAGAACATGTAGTACTAGTATGTCTCTGTGCGTCCCACAGACCCCCGACGCCGCGATTCTTGCCGCAGCGTCGACCCCGTGCAGAGGTCTGGACCCCTTCCCGGGGACCAGCTTCTCATCCTGGGTCGTGTTATTCGACGCTCCCGAGGCCCGGGAAGGGCCCCCGGAGGCCGCAAGTAGCGAACAATAATCCCGTGTTATGATGTTCCAACGTACTTTACTCTGTGCCCCTCAATAGTTTTGGGGGTACCTGTAGTCCGGGGGGGGTACCTATAGTCCGGGGGGGGTGTACTTGTAGTCCGGGGGGGGGGGTACCTGTAGTCCGGGGGGGGGCTTGTAAGTCCCGGCCGGGGGGGGTACCTGTAGTCCGGGGGAGGGTACCTGTAGTCCGGGGGGGGCGCGTATGGGGGTACTTGTAGTCCGGGGGGGGCATATGTTCATGCCTCAAAGCACGCGTGGTTCCACGCACGCGGGTGTTTAGTACTTACGCGCGCGGGACCTCACGCGCATCGTTGCACACGACACGCCCGCGCGCACGCGCGCATGCACGCACAGACTCACACGCACGCGCGCACGCAACCGCACGGAACCGCACGGAACCGCACACACGCACACGCAAGCACACACGCACGCACATGCGCGCACGCACAGACACTCTGTATCATGAGAATGACAACTTTGCAGATATTGCATGATTGCGCTGTCTGCTTAGGTCACAGCCAAGCAAGCGCACAATGTGTGCGAAACCTGAGCGCCGACCTGCAGTCCGGGGGGCTAGGGGGGTACCTGTAGTCCGGGGGGGGGGGTACCTGTAGTCCGGGGGGGTACTTGTAGTCCGGGGGGTACCTGTAGTGCCGGCGGGGTGGGTACCTGTAGTCGGGGGGGGGGGCGGAGGGGGGGGGGGTACCTGTAGTCCGGGGGAGGGGTATTTGTAGTCCGGGGGGTACCTGTAGTCCGGGGCCCCAAAACTATTGAGGGACACAGAGTAGCCTTGATCACCAGCAAGAATTTCGAGCGCACCCCAAAACTCGAGGGTTTTCACGCGTCGGGCCCTGGGCGACACTGCTTCGACACTCTTTCGACACTCTCTCGACACTTCCTCCGGGTACTCGAAACTATTTCTGGGATGTGGTCCCACGCGAAAGCTAGAACACCTCGAACACACACACACACACACACACACACACACACACACACACACACACACACACACACACACACACACACACACACACACACACACACACACACACGCACACACACACACACACCACACACGCACAAAACGCACACGCCATAAAGAACCCCTGCACACGCACACGCACAACTCCGACACTCAGCACTCACACTCCCACGCACACACCATCCTCCACGGGCCCCCGCCCCGCCTGGGCCGCGGTGGGCTCTGAGAGGTACGGTCCAACTTGGGCCCCCCCAGTAAGGCCATCGGCAAACATGTGGCCCCTGATTCGGGATAAGGAGGCACGAGTTCTTCGCCTACGGGTCCCAGAGGACGGTCCAAGCTGCCCACCAGGAAGGCCACAGCAAACATGGGGCCCAGAGGACGGTCCAAGCTGGCCCCCAGGAAGGCCACAGCATCCATGGGGCCCGAGGCGGGAGAAGGAGAGGCGGCCTCTCCTTCTCCCGCCTCGGGCCCCATGTTTGCTGTGACCTTCTTGGGGGGCAGCTGGGACCGTCCTCTGGGGCCTCTGAGGCCGTCCAGGCCTCCTGGACGGGGTCGGAGCAGATGAGGTCGGAGGGTCGCGCCGCATCGCCGATGCATCGCCGATGCTGCTCGATGCGGGGCCCGAGTTTATCCATGCCGGCGTCGCCGATGCATCGCCCACGTCGATGATGCATCGCCGGTGCATCACCGATGCACCGCGGATCAGGGACGCGGAAGTGGCTCGCAGAACAGAGCTCGCTGTCGTGTTGCAGCCGTCTGCGGCGCATCCTGGGAGCCTCGGATTGCAAACAAAAAGGATTGCAAAAAAACCCTCGGGTTTCTTTTGCAATCCTTTTTTGCAATCCTTCGGGTTTGCAACAAAAAGTCTTCCGTTTTTTTGGCAATCCTTGGATTGCAAAAAGGTTTTTTTGCAATTCTTCAGGTTGTTTTGCAATTCTTCGGGTTGTTTTGCAATCCTTCGGACCATGTCTGGGGCCTCTGGGGTCGCCTCTGGGCCCCGACGGGGCAGGGGTGCGGACGTGGTCCACGGACCAGAGCACGCTGGCCGCCTGCCGGCGGCGCCGGGGTGCCCGGGAGCGGCCCGCAGAGGTCGAGGTTGTGAGCAGGGAGAGCAGCGCTCCGCAAGGGCGCCCCCTGCGGCAGAAGGCCCCGACCAGCTCTGCAGGGCCCAGGGGGAGGGGGCACGAGGAGCACTGTCTTGGACCTCGTACAGAAATCGCACATGTGTGCGCATAAATTATATATATATTATAATATATATATATATATAATATCTATATTTATATATATATTGCGAAAGGGGCCCTGACGGCCGGTGCCGCCGACCCTGTTCGCAATGCGCAGCAAGAGGCACGGGCTGTGGGATGGTTTGGGGGAACGGGGAGAAGGACGAGAAGGTGGGGGAGGGAGGTGTCGCATCTGACCCGGGACTTCCCCGGGACTCCCCCGGGACCCCCCCCGGGACCTCCTCTCCCCCCCCCGTCGGGGAAGGGAAAGGGAAGGGGCTTCCCTTCGACTCAATAACGACGTTGCTCAAGGTCGGCTTGGCTTGACACAGGGGAAGAAGGAGTCCCCAAGGGGGGGGGGGGGGCGTCGTATTCTACCCTGGGGGGGGTCGGTACCCCCCCCCTACCCCCCCCCCCCTCCGGGGGGAGGGATCAAAGGGAAGGGGCTTCCCTTCGACTCAATTACGGGTTGCTCAAGGTCGGCTTGGCTGGAGCCCAGGGGGAGGAGGAGTACCCCCCTGGGGGGGGCTTTCGTACTGACCCTGTGTGGGGGGTCGGCACCCCCCCCCTACCCCCCCCCCCCTCCCGGCGGGGGAGGGATCAAAGGGAAGGGGCTTCCCTTCGACTCAATTACGAGGTTGCTCAAGGTCGGCTTGGCTGGAGGAGTCCCAGGGGGGGGCGTCGTATCTGACCCGGGGGGGGGGTCGACACCCCCCCCCCCCTCCCGGCGGGGGAGGGATCAAAGGGAAGGGGCTTCCCTTCGACTCAATTACGAGGTTGCTCAAGGTCGGCTTGGCTGGAGCCCAGGGGAAGAGGTCCCAGGGGGGGCGTCGTATCTGACCCGGGGGGGGGGTCGCTACCCCCCCCCCCTCCCGGCGGGGGAGGGATCAAAGGGAAGGGGCTCCCTTCGACTCAATTACGAGGTTGCTCAAGGTCGGCTTGGCTGGAGCCCAGGGGAAGAGGTCTCCCAGGGAAGGGAAGGACAGAGACGACGAGTACAAAGAATGACGGAGATGACGGCTCGAACGGAAAAGCCCCTCACACACGCCGACAGGGTCGGCGGATATATATATATCTATATATATATATAATGTATATATATATATAGGCGTTCCAGAGAGGGCCGAGTGAGGTTATCCGGAACTGCGGGGTGGGGGGGGGGCACGAGGAACGTTGTCTTGGACCCCGCATGGATGCTGCACACGTGTACGCACACGCATAGATCAGAGTGAGGGGGCCGAATGGTCATTCATTCTCCCTGGTTGCGCGGCTGAAGTGGGGACCGTGGTGAAGATTCTGCTTGTTGCGTTGTTGTTTGTTTGTTGTCGTCGTCCCCCCCGCGACCCACCCGCGACCCACCCGCGACCCACCCCGCGACCCTCCGACCCACCCGCGACCCACCCGCCGCGGCCCACCCCGCAACCCACCCGCGACCCACCCCGCGACCCACCCCGCGACCCATGCAGCGTACCAAATGCGAGCTGCGTATGAGAGGATCCTGCTTGTTGCGTTGTTGTTTGTTTGTTGCGTCGTCGACGTGAGGCCCCTCCTTCTGTTTTCCTTCCTCTGTTAATTCAAGCTGTGCGCGGCCCGCTTAGCTTCGACCGGAAGAGGCTCGCTCTCGACCCGCGGATCAAAAAAACAAATTGTTTGTTGCGTCGTCCCCCCGAGAACCCCCCCGCGACCCACCCGCGACCCACCCCGCAACCCACTTGCGACCCACCCCGCGACCACCCGCGACCCACCCGCGATCCACCCCGCGACCCGCTCGCGACCCACCCGCGACCCACCCGCGCGACCCACCCGCGACCCACCCGCGACCCGGCCCGCGACCCACCCGCGACCCACCGTCGACCCACCCGCGACCATGTGCGACCCAATCCGCGACCCATCCATATTGTTTCAACAAAAAATTCGGCGCCTGTTGCTGGCTCGTTGTATAGCTTGAACAGCTCTGCGCCTGCGGCGGATTTCCTCAGAGCTTCGCAGACTGCCGACGCCCCCGCCGCCCCCTCACTCTACTTGCAACTGCGGGGTGGGTCGACGATGGATCGCGGGTGGGTCGCGGGCCGGGTCGCGGGTGGGTCGCGGGTGGGTCGCCCCGAGCGTCCTATTGCCGAGACCTTGAGATCTTGACGTCTCATTTTTTTCGAGTTGGGCGTTTGCAGCAGGTTTCGGGCCCTGGGGGCCTCACAGTTCGATCCAGCCCGAAAGATGGCGCAGAAATTTGGGGTCTAGGGCTCTGGTCGTGATTTGCACGATGTTTAAATTGTTTCGCGCCGTCGCATCTCAG